TGCTGCAACCATTAATCAGGTAGTGCAGCGCTCCATCAAAGCCCTGACCCCGGAGTGACTAAACCTGCACTTGCAAGGTATCTTAATGTTACAACAACAGATTGACCATATTGGTGAAAAAATTGATATGCTTCAATTGAATGTTAGGGTACCCTGTAGTCTTCAATTTCTGTGTATTTGTCAAACCCCTGTCTTGGCAAAAAATGTAACAGAAGCTCAACTTGAAGTAGTAGATAGACTTAAGGGACCTTGGGATATGGCTTTTAGAAATTTCACTATGATGCTGCATTCCCAGATTCTCAGTCTAAATGAAACCAGAGCAAATCTAATTCTTAACCCCTCAATTCTACAACGGCTATGGGATAAATTGTCAGCTTTAATTGACTCCGCTAACTGGATCCTTGCTGTCATTGTCATTGCTCTTCTTGTTCTAATGTATGTTCTTTTAAGATGCTTCCAAAAAAAGGCCCAACAAAGTAGAAACTAAGAAAGCTATGATAGTATATGCATAAAAGGAAAGTCAAAAGGTGTTGAGAGCCACAGCCGAAGGGGCCCCAGCAAACTTCCAGCTGCCAGCAAACTTCCAGCTGCCGGCTGATGATTGGCTCACAGCGGCCCCAGCAACATCTAGCTGATTGGCTCCTCTGCGGTGATGCTCATTGGGCTGTTTCCCTGTCCTTTCAGACCACGGAGCTGCTCATTGGGGAACTTTTTTGGCTCCGCCCACGTGACCCAGCCAATCGGCCTCAAGAGAGAGAAGCTTGTGTGGGAGAGAGAGGCTTGTGGAAAGCCGGTGGTGGCAGTTGAGGCTCTGAGGGTTTTTCCTGAGAGGCTGTTTTGTTTGGCGTGTGTGGTTCTAAAAATAAAGTTAGTTTCTTTTGACAAGTGGCTCCTGATTGTGCCCAGCCAGACTGCGGCAAAAAGGAGAGTAAGGAGTCTCCTTCAGCTGTGTGGATGGCAGCTATGGATCGGATCTAAGTAAATACTAAGGGCCAATTATGAGGGATTAGGTCCTGAGTCTTGTCACAGTTCTCCTTTTCGTCTGTCTCTCTGCTTTGCCCCAATACAACTTCCTTTTTCTCATCCGATTACTGTTTGCTGGTTCTATGGCCTCTCTCTTTCCTTTCTGAACACAGCCTCTCTCGCCCAGTGCTGTGAGCTGAGCCCTCCCTGGAGAATAAACCTGAGTTTCCCAAAACCTGTGACCAGAGCCGGGGCCCCGCCAGCAGGCGAGGGGATCCTAAGGCAGATGCTGGCGGCCACAGGGGCATTAGTTACCAAGGAGTCAGAGAACTAACCCTCTCGGAGGCAATGCCTTGCACACTCCACATCACCCTGTTTGGCCCCGGAGGATGGCCAGTTAGTCAAAGACGGGTAAGATTCCTCAAGGAGGAACAACCTAAGACAGGCATAGTCACAGAGGGGCCATCAGGAGAGAACTTGGGAGCCAACAGAGGTGAGGCACAGATCCTCACCCCCGCAGCTGGGCAAGGGCCTGAGCCTTCACCCCTTCTGAGGGAGGTCTCCTGCCCCCATGGCTGCTTTGCTCCCCATGCCCAGCTCAGATCGGGACCCAAGTAACAGAGACCTAGCCAACAGCAGCTGCCCACTCGCCACAGCAGGACCACAAGGAAGGGGCAGCTGCAGGAAAGGGCTGGGTTTGGATGTTGTTCTTGTTTCCCCTTCTCTTTCTTACTACGCCTCTTTACCTGTACTTCTGTCCGTTTTTCTTCCCTTTTTCTTTCCTTTTCTTCTCTTATCATGATTCTCCTTTGGCTACAAATTTAATAAAAAGGGAGGAAATGTAGGAGTAACTCTCGGTTTGCAGCTAGCAGCTACAAGCAGCTCAGAGTGCTTGAAAAACCTATAGGAAACCCACCTATAGGATGGGCGCTCTGCTCTAGCGAGCCCTCTGAAAAACCACATCCTCAGTGACTGAGGTCAGCATTCCCAGGGGTCCAAGAGGCAAGGCCTCTTTCCCATAACTCATAAGGCCCCCTCTCATAGGGACAAAGAACCTACCAATCTGCCTTCCACCATGTAACAATATTTAGAGCTTCCTCATAATGCGGTTACATTAATCATAAGATGATTGGCTTCTAGATGTTGTATAAGCTGCTTTGCTTGTGTAAGATTGAAGGATGCACCCTACCCGAGCCCAATATCAGCTGCACTCATTTCTGCAATAAATGAACTTGCTGGAGGTCGGCTGAGGTTGCCACCTGCCTGCTCTCATCAGCTCCCAGTGTCTGTGTTTTGACTCCACATCCTCCACACCCGCTGCATCTGAGGTAGCTGAGTGACTCACAGCAACATACTAGGACACATCAAACCAGCCTGTGCCTGTACATACTCCCTGATGGAATTTAACATCTATCAGCCCCACTCTTTGTTGTCTTATTTATCCCAAGAACATTCCTGCAGGAAAAGTATGGCAGCCCTGTTGTCAGCTCCAGATGAAAAAGAAGCCATCTGAGACTTTGGGGTGTGTTAAGAAGAGTATCTGAGAATCTGTTCTGTGTCTCCTCTCTGAATTAAAGGGACAGGGGACGATCAACCTAACCATCACTCCAGGATACACTGCACATCTGTGTCTTCTTGTTAAGCTCATTCAAATCCAAGCAAGCTTTGCCCAAGCGTATTTAGGAAAGCTTTCTGATGGTGAATAACACAGAACGTTAAAATTCTAAGCTGAAGTCACTGCATGTAAGAAAGGGAACACTATACAGGGCAGTAATCACAGGACACCAGGCCAAGTAGGCTAGCACAAATATCCTGCAAAAGTCTAAGTATGAAATAACTCAGAATCATGATTTTTAACTTAAAATACTAGGTAATATCAAAGGCCTCCAGATTGGACTACTTTGCGCTTATAAAATAGTATATCTGCCTGGTTTACCGTCAAAGTACCAATGAGCATGGAAAAATCTTCTCACGTTTGTCTGGCCTGTTGGTGAAGATAACTGTTCTTTACAACTGTGCAGTCATCTTTAGTCTCCAAACTTATTTCAAAGTATCTTATTTGATCCCCAGAACAATCTTGTAATATGTGCAGGCCCTGTTGAGGAAATTGAGCATAGAAGACAACGGACTCATCCAAAGCTACCGCAGTGAGGGTAGAGACAGACCTCGGCTCAGAAGCTTCTTTGGCATCATTATGAACCCCCACAATGCTGACTGCAAAACTGTTTTCCTCACCAACTATATATTTAAGTCATACATTTCAGTTAAAATATTGTGCTATCTAAATGCACATGTTTGTGTAAGAGATAAAAGACTCATATGAAAGGGAAAGAAAGGATTGTGGGACAGGAAGGTTTTGTCACCAAATAGCTTGTTTTTTTTCCTTTTAAAGTTCAATTTGTTATAAAAACAAAGAAAATAAAATTTTCTGTAATAGTTCAGCTTAGACATAGCTTCTGTTATATGAACTAAGGCATGGCTGTTGGTAGGGGGAACTTTAAAGTAATGTACAAATTTATTAATATAAAATATTTTAATTTAAAGGGGCCCATGTAAATACAAACCTGGTCTTTTTTGTTGGGGGGGTGTGTACTGGGGATTGAATTCAGGGGCACTCAACCACTGAGCCATGTCCCCAGCCCTATTTTGTATTTTATTTAGAAACAGGGTCTCACTGAGTTGCTTAGTGCCTCATTTTTGCTGAGGCTGGCTTTGAACTCACGATCCTCCTGCCTCAACCTCCCAAGCTGCTGGTATTACAGGTGTGTACCGTTGTGCCTGGCTTAAACCTGGTTTTTAATCTCACCACTGTCAGTTGAATGCTCTTGGAAAAAAGCCATTTGAGTAATCATCTGTGGATAAACATTTCTTCTATCCATGAAGTGGGTGTTCCTGTGCATGCATCTTTGTAAACTTTTCTGATTGCTGAATTAAGATAAATTCTGAGGAGTAGAATTCCTAAATCAAATAGGGCATTTTTTGTTTGTTTGTTTTTGGTACTGGGAATTGAACCCAGGGTCACTTTCCCAGCAACCTCTACACCCCTAGACCTTTTTTTAAAGTTTTTATTTTGAGACAGCGTCTTGCTAAATTCTCGGGGCTGGCTTCAGCCTCCCACCTCAGCTTCCCAAGTTCCTGGGATAACAGGTATGGGCCACCATGCTCACAAACGGCATGCGTATTTTAAAGATTGATGTATGCTCCCATAGGATCCAGAAAGGAAGTAGAAATTTATACTCAACATTTTCTGAAAGGTAAACATATAAGTAGAAAGCAAGGTAACAAAATATCCTAAGACAAATTCCCTCTCTGGGGGTTCTATTCTATTGGCTTGAATGCAAATGCTCCTCCCCTTCCTTATAAGAGGTGGAGCTATGCAAAGCACTACTTCCCCTCTGCTACAGGTCACTCCTGTAGCTGGCAGGGTCCTCAAAGGAGGGCAGGGGCTCACTGGTTCATCACACTTCCTTCTGAGGGATTCCACATAACTTGTGAGTGATAATAAAGTATCATTGTTTGAATGGTTTAGAGCTCTTGTTGGCTATGAGGTTTGGTATTTGTTCGGTTTGGACTGATTTTTCATAAATTGTAGTAGATTCATTGATAGCTCCACAATGGTGTGCTTCCCTTGCATTCTTGTATGCCGTTCTCAGTAGGAGACCGAGGTCTGTGAGCAGAACCTGTGGCCCTGTTAAACTGCAGAGGTTGAAAATGGTGCCAATTTTAATTGCTTGCAATATTCACCTTTGACTTTTGTCAAAATATAGGCATGCCTGGGGGAGTGTATTGTTATGTCAACGTCAATGGTCACATGAGCATGATAGAATACAGAATCCGTGGAGTGTGATCCTTTCATCCAGCAGGCCAGGGGTGCCAGGGCAGCATTACACACAATCCTTCTGCTATGTATCTTAATGGGCAAAGGGGAAAGAAAATACTGATACAATCATTGCCAGCTTGAAGGATAAAAGTAATGGTTTCATTTTTCAAACTAAGGTACTTTTTCTTATTTTAATAAGAAAAATATGCAGCTGTACCTTGACATCCAGGGCTGCCTGGGTCACCCTTAGGACCAGGTGGGCCACGCTGGCTGGCAGGCTCACCTTTGCTTCCTGTGAGTGATAAAGTACGCGAACATTAAGAAAATTAAATTTAGTTTCACACAAGTGACTTAATAAACTTCATGTTTGTCTTTATAAACTACATTCAAAGTTTCCAGGATAAGATTATTTTAAAAACTACATTTTTTCCAAAAAACAGACGCGTGATTTCATAGTTCATAATGATCATAAGAAACCATAATATTGAGAAGTTTGAATTCTTAGCCACCCCCCCCAATTTTCAGACTTAGGTTTCTTTTTAAGAAATTACTCCTGCATGGTGTGATTCTGTGATTATGTTTTAGAAACAAATGCAGAGATCGACACTGCTTCGGATGCGGCAATCACATTTCCAGCTCTCTTACAAGGAAGCTCAGCTCAGTGTCCTTATAAAACACAATATTACAAAGGCGTGCTTTATTGAAGACTTCACAAGAGATGCATACCCAAAGGCCACTGTGGACAGTGCCTCCTGTATTCATCTCTGCTGGTCTAATTCCAGGTACAAAGACTTACATTATAGCTGGGAACCAGTTTAAGTGAGGGACTCAAAGTGGAGTGGGAGGGGAGGGCCAGACAATAGGAGGGGTTATGAGAGAATAAGGAAAGTAGTTAGTACCTGCCCACTAATGCTCTCTTCTAAGAGAGCCCACTCAGGCCTTGTGGCAATGATGTTTGCACCTGACCCCACTCTTAATCATGGTTAATTGCTCAAGGGGTTGGGATCTGGTGTATGACACTCAGCCAGTCTTTCCTTGAGAAATTGGAATTAAAAACTAAGGATTTGGGATCCTGGACTACTGGGGCAGAAACTCAGAGGATTATCATGAATTGTTCAATGTAGAACATGCTGGAGTACAATCCAACCATATCCAGAAAGGCCCAAAAAAGATACTAAATAGGTGGTGATGAAACCAGTTGGTAGAGAGATAAGTTAAAGAACTAGACCATGGAGGAAAAAAAGCAAAACCCCATGCATTGCCTAAGGGCCTGAGCATTCCAGTCTGACGGAACTGTGTCTCCTGTTGGTGGGTTGCTGAGATAGCTTTTTCTTTTTAGATTCATGTCACTTCACCTCCTTGCAAACATGGTCTAACACAGGTACAAAAGAAGTAAGAAGAGGTAGCTATGTACTGCGAAGGAGACAAAGGGACTATCTACACTCATCAGTGAGCACAGAAGGAACGATTTCTGAATGCTGAAGGCTTAAACCATCAAAATCAAATTTAAAATGTCCCTATTTGTGATCATTTCTGGAAAAGAGATAAAATTGCTTTCACTGAATAAGCATGCACAGTTCATGTTTTCTTACAGTAATTATCATTTATAAAGCGTCTCTCATGTCTTATCAGATTTGAGAAGATCTTAGGTGGCTCATTGATTAGTATTTCAAATTTAAAGTTTTTTTATTTTAATTTGTATTGGAGGAGGAAAGGGAATAAAAAGGACAGTAGGATTAATTGAATATAACTTTCCTAGCCTTGTATTGAACACACAACAAGGATTACTCAGCATTATATACAACCATAAGAATTGGATCCTAATTAGAATAAGTTACTCCAGGTATGTATGATATGCCAGAATCCATTCTACTGTCAAGTATATCTAAAAAAGAACAAATAAAATAAAAAAACTTAGAAAGTATATTAAAGTAATATATATCTGCATGTCAGACCTGTGAATTCACACAGTGAGGTTAAGGCTAAGGTTTAAAAGATGAACCATGTTAAAATAGATTTAAAGAAATATATTAACTTACTGATGATATACCCATAGTGAAACTGTTAAAGCTTTTACGCAAACATTGTAATTTAAGATATCCTGATTTTTGTTTATTTGTTGGTTTGTCCTAACAAAGGGTAAATGAAACATCTCTTTTTCTGAGGGTATTTTTTCCACCATTTTTAAACTTTCAATTTCACTTTCCCCCAATACCTGATGAAGGTGCAATGTCAGTTGTGTTTACCAGGCAACATTAGTTTTGGCACAAGATAAACTGAGACCCGTGAGGCCAAATCCAGTCTGCTACTTTATTTATTTTGTAGATAGATTTTTATTGGGATATAACCATACCCCCTTGTTCACATACTGGCTAGAGATGCTTTCATATTACAAGAGTACAGTACAGTAGTTGTGACTGAGGTCAGGTCCCACAGATAGTTTTTATGATCTGGTTCTTTACTTGGGGGGAAAAAGAAATTGCTGACCCTTGGCTTATGTAAAAACAATTATAAATTATATCTGGTTTGGGAAGTCATGGAATCCTAATAGCTGAGCATATGAAGTAAGTCCTTAGAAGAAAGACTGGCTCCTGTGGGACATGGGCTTCTAACCAATGGGGACACTGCCCACAGGTATGGAGCTGGTCTCCTTGCACCCAAGCTGCCCCTTGGGGGTGCTGTGGTTACTACATTTTCTGCTGCTCAGACCCCACTGAGGAGGTGGGAGCAGCTGAGAAGATTCGAGAAGATCTTAGGTGGTTCATTCATTAGTATTTTACCTTGGAATCTGGGTCAAGTCACTCAGCTGAGTCTGCAGACACCTCCTGTCTAGAACCCTTGGATCTGAGTGACAAATGAGAACCCTCTCTAAGGAGAGCCCCTTGGATGTTCCAGTTTGTTTGATATACTTCATTTATCATGCAAAAGATGACTACCCACAGTGTGCAAGCACCCAGGATTATGAGCTTGACAGGCGTCTACTGTGTTTCCAAATCATACCTTTAGGTCCTCTTGCTCCATCAATTCCTGAAAATCCAGGGGGGCCTGGATAGCCCAGCTCACCCTAACAATTTAATGAAACAAAAATAAGACCTTACTTGGGTTTCCAATGCAAGTGGCACAGGTATGACAGGATCCAGTTATAATTGTCTGCTATCAATTTTTTTTTTTTGTATTTTGCAATGGTAAAGAAAATTGGAAGTGCATTGCAAGCATACTATCACATGTGTCTAGTTTTCAAAAGTTGATAAAATTCCTCCAGAATTAGAGCTATTGATGTCAACAATTAGCATACCATCCTTTATTCATGCTTACAGAACAGTAGATGTACCATAAGATTTGAATTTTAGGTTTTGAATGAACAAATCAATATTAACTAAAATAGAATTAAAAGTCCTGTTATACCATAAACTTTAAAACTCCATTTGATCCCAAAAGATGGATACTGAGTTGTTATACATTTTCTAGAAGTACAATACAGGCTACTACATTTATTATACATTGTGTTACTTATGTTACTTATGATTATGAGTATGTTACTTATGATTATAAATACCAAATGTGTTAAAGCAAAATCCGATGAGGATTAGAAATCATAATTTGGGTGGTTTTTCAGGATGACCTTTCATCCTGCTGAACAGCAGCCACGTGGCGAGTCTCTAAGGAGGTGCTTACAGCTGGCCTGGAGTGTGTGACTTGCTCATCTATAGTAGGGAAACCAGGCATGAGCATGGGTCGGGAATTTAAGTTATACCATGGCCTTCCAGAGGACTCCATGCCTCCTTCTGTGATCCCTTTCATTCTGACAGCCTATGAAAGGGAAATGAAGTGCACTGGCAAATCAGGGCTCCTTATGGGATTCTAAGAGCAGAAAGGTTTTATTGTTTCCTCTCTCTTGCAGCAGTAACCCCTTACCTGGTCTCCTGGAAACCCTGGAAAGCCAATGATCCCTCTTAGGCCAGGTGAGCCTGGAGGACCAGGGGGTCCAGGAAGCCCATGCTGCCCATTTCGACCAGGCTCCCCTCTGTGGAATCCAGGTGGGCCATATCTTCCTGGCTCTCCTCTTCTCCCTTGCATTCCAGGACTTCCTGTATCACCTGATGAGAATGGAAGATTATAAACCTTTTGGCTAAAATTTTGTAGAATAGTTATGCCAAAGGGCTCAGTCCTACTTTTAAAAGACGAAGTCAAAGGCATTGGAAATTCTGACTTGCTCTAAACCACATCTCCATGGTTTTGATGTCCATGACCTCACTGTGAAAGAGGCTGTCCAGGAACAGATTCAGGACTACCAGAAGAAGGACAAAGTGTGCAGGGTTATTGGCTCCAATACACTCACCCTTTGCACATAAGGAAGAACTTAGCAGAGAAGTTGAAACATTTTCCCCTGGCAACTGGTCAAAGAGACAGCCAAGACAAGAACCCAGGCTTCATGCAGATTAAGCCTGAACTTGCTAGAAAACACAAATGTGGTTGTCAAAATCCTTTCTATGCAATTTTTCTAAGGACTAGCATCATGGCAAAGGGGTGCTTGTTAGAAAGACAGCATCCCTGGAGGCCTCAGGCCTATGGAGTCGGAATCTGAATTTCATAAGATCCTCTGGTGATTTGTATGCACACTGAGCTCTGAGAGACACCAAAGTGACCTGGATATTGAATACTATTCAATTTAACATCAACGACTACAAACAGAAGTACTTTAAACCTGACTCCAGTAATTTATATGTATCTCAAGTTGATCCTAGTTTGGAATATCCAAATCTATCCGAATCTATAAATATGTAAGAGCTTTAGTTAAGTGTTAGGATAGAAAAGCAAAAAAAAAAAAAAAGCATCACAAAGTTCATTAATGTGTAATTTTATCTAAGAAATTATCTTTCCTGATCTCCATGTTAGTGTAAGAGTTCACTTGAATTATCTGCAAAGATGACATGCATGCCCACATATAGAAGCACAACACAATAGTCAAACTATGGAATGTGACATATATACACAATGAAGTTTTATTCAATAAAAATTAAGTTATGTCATTTGCAGGAAAATGGGTGGAACTTGTTAACAGTACATTAAGCAAGATATTTCGAATTCAGAAAGTCAAGGGTCGTATTGAGGTTTTCTCTCCTGTGGAAACTATAGAGGAAAAAGGAAAAGAAAGATGAGGGGAGTGGGAGCTCATGAAAATCAAAAGGAGATCAGTAGAGTAGACAAAAGGAACCAGAGGGAGGGGAAGGGGAGAGAAAGGGGAAATACTGGGGAATGATACTGGACGTTACATAGTGATAATGTGTGCATGCATGCATATGTAATAATGAATCCCACTATTATGTACAACTAGAATGCACCAATAAAAAATATGGGGGAAAAAAGAAACCTTGAATGTTTGTTTACCTCTCTCTCCTGGGAAGCCATTGTCCCCAGGAGGCCCAGCTTCCCCAGGTTTCCCCTTCTTGGAAATGATGGCCATCTCTCCTTCATTTCCAGGAGGTCCTCTTGCTCCTGTAGAAATCAGTAATGCCAGAGAAAAAACACACACCACACCTGTACCTTGTCTGTTGCTCACTTCACCCTCAGGTTACCAGCCACCATTAAACACTAAAACTGCATTAGAGTTGACGGGATGCACAATTTCACCAGCTTTGACCATCTGAAGGAAGGACTGCGCCTTCCGCATTCCTGTCCCTGCTGGTCCAGCCCTCGGGGACCACAGAATGTCTGCTAAGTTCAGCCAAACAGGTCCCAGAGTCTTCAGTGAGTTCAGACAGGTTTTAAAAACTCCAATCTACAAAACTGCCTGTTTGTTTTGTAAAATCTGAATTGCTCATCTCTCATCTCTGGCTCCATCTCTTCCCCTTCATTAACACCCTCTGTTATTTTCTTTACATTGACAGAATAGACACGTTTTAATGTGGTTTTCCAGAGACTTCCAAAAGGTAGGAAAAGGAGTAACATCTTCCTGCCAAACTTTGCCAACACTGTCCAGTGGCTGCTAAGCTCCTTGCAGTTCAGATCCGCCTTGGATGATTATTTATGTTTCAGTCAGAGTATTTGTACCACCTCGGTCAGCAAAGTTGGACATTTCAAAAAGAAAATTTCAAAGAGCCTGTTTATCACCACATCACTGGCATTCATCCAGTTTTTTAATTTCTATTGGAATAATTGGAGCATTGCAAACATCACTTTTCTAAGGTAAGAAAAGAGTGACTTTTAGACTCCTGAGTCTATGAAAGCAACTTGCAAGTTGGTAATATAAAACAAAAAATAGTAGGATGGATCAACTAAAAAGAAGAGGTCATTTAAATGAAATATGAGACTATTTACCCATAGAGCTTTAAGGGCCAAAATATTGTTTCTAAAAATGGCCAAAAGTTCTTCTTGACACTGGAAATGTTACCTTTACCCAATGCAGCCTCAGGATTGAGCGGTAAAAGTAAACTTTGAGCCAGGAGGGGCACAGGACATTTGAGTCAGTGCTCTTAAAGCTTATTTTTTTTCTTTTTCATAGTGATGAGACTCTTTCTTTAAATGAAACTTGGGGGCAACTGAACTCAAGGCGCAGATGAAAATCAGCTCATTCTAGTCCAGAGGTCTGCAAACTACAGCCCACAGGCCACATCCCTCCTGCTGCCAGTTCTTGTACAACCCAAGAGCTGGGAATGGTTTTTACACTTTTAAATGGTTGCAGGGGAATGGGGCAGGACATAAAGCACAAAACAATATTTTGTGAAAATTATATATAAATTTGTGAAAATAATATGAAATTCAAATTTCAGTGTCCAGAAATAAAAATGCACTGGAAGATTGTATTTTTCGTTTGTGTGTTGCCTCTGGCTTCTGTTCACCTGAAATATCATCTGTCATGCTCTTTACAGAAAAAGGCTACCAATCCCTGGTTTAATTGAAACAGAAGTTGGGGGACAGGGGCTTCCAACAGCTGAGAAAGTTCTCTGAAACCCATCATCTATAAGTCCATGTGTTACGAACCACTGATTATTTTTTTTTTCCTAATAATAGAGCAATTCATTTACCATAGTTGCAGGCAATACAGTTCAAAGGTAAGAAAAACAAATTTTGTTTAAAATTTTGAAACAATATACTGCAGAGCTAAAAAGAAGGGGAATCTAAACCATAGATTGGTCCCATTTTATTTTTCAGAGGTCATATTTATAAGTTCTGATCAAATACCAGAAACAAACATTGTGCCTGGCTGTGTTGTTAAGGGCACTTACCTTTGACACCTCTTGCCCCCTGCTCTCCCGGGAAGCCAGGCCAGCCCTTGGCTCCAGTCTCTCCCTTTCTTCCACGTTGTCCTTCTGGACCTGGTTTTCCTCTCTCTCCGGGAAAACCTGCGAAGCCAGGCAGCCCCTGGGGTCCTGATGGAATGAGAACATGGGTTTTTAGGAAAGCATTGTAAGGCTGGTGTGGTGCTGGTGTCTGGGCTCTCGCAGTCCATGGAGAAATGTGAACTCCACACCTAACTGAGTTTGCAGGGACAGTAAACAACAGTTGTCAACTCTACTGCCTCTAATAGCTGTGCTCCCTCACCCAGTCCTATTTTCTACCCTCCAGACCTGACATGGAGGCCCTGATGATTCTTGGTCCTGATCCCACAGTGCTTTAAGAGGACCAGGGGATGGGATAAGGATGAAGACATGCATTAACCCTGACCAAGGGCTGTATTGGTGACCAGTCCTCTGACCTGAAGTGTTTGTGGGTCCTTTCCCCATTTTCCTGCACTAGGACATTCTGCCACTGGAAATAACAATGCAGGGGCAAGAAGAAGGAAGACATCATTACGAGAAAAACAAAGTCAAGCTGACAGAACAGTAAATTCTTGAGTATGGTCATACATAAGGGCTTTACTTGCCAGTGGATTTCAAGTTTATAAAATGGGGAGAGATCATGGAAAAGCACTATTTACCCTTTGGGCCTGGAAGACCAGGCAGCCCATCTTCCCCAAAGGGTCCTGGGATTCCTGGAGGTCCTGGGAGTCCACCTGCACCTGGCAATCCTGGGAGCCCAGGGAGGCCCTTCATTCCAGCTGGCCCAGGAGGCCCCATATCTCCTTGCTGCCCTTTCCAACCTGGGGCACCTGAGACAAACCACAGTGAAGACAAGGGTTGAATGGAAAGCTGCCTTCACACATGTACAGCAAAACCATACTCATAGAAGCTTAAATTATGTATCTGTGGGCCAGGCGCCCTGGCTCACGCCTGTAATCCCACCAGCTTGGGAGGCTGAGGCAGGAGGATCATGAGTTCAAAGCCAGCCTCAGCAAAAGTGAGGCACTAAGCAACTCAGTGAGACCCTGTCTCTAAATAAAATACAAAATAGAGCTGGGGATGTGGCTCAGTGGTTGAGTACCCATGAGTTCAAACCCCGGTACCCACCACCCAAATTATTTAGCTGTGTCCCATGAAATAAAATCAAAACAATATTAACTAAAACAATGGAGCAACTTCTGATCCATCTAAGAATATGCTTTTCTGGATGCTACAAAAAGAAGGGGAGATAATGTGAATAAATATTTCCCAGGAGGGATGTGTGAAGATTACAAAAAAAAAAAATTAATTGAAAATGGCTAGGCATTAAAAACAAAATTTTATTTGTATGTGCTTTTAAAGGAGAAAAACTACTAGAACAAAATTGCTAGAAGAAAACTTTTCAGATGCTTCTTGAAGCTCTGGCCAAGTGAACTCCAGGTTGGCTGCTGGCTGTGGTGAGAGAATTGTAGAAATCGGAGCAGCACCATCTAGCATTACTGGCATTAGAGATAAGGCTGTAGTGGCAGGTTTTGCCTCAAGCTTGTTTAGATTTTTCAAGTGGGCACATCTTGCATTTGGACAAAAGCAATAATAGGCTGCAATAATAGAACCAACAATCTGAATAATGAAATGAGTATCATATTAGAAATAGCCCCTGTTATGTCTGAATGAGTTCTCCAAAATCCATATTAAAGTTTAACTGCCAGTGGGATAGTATTGAAAGGTAGGGATTTTAGAAGGTGAATGTCATGAGGTTAGAGTCCTCATGACTAAGATTAGTGATCTGTAAAAGAGATATAAGGGGTCTGGGGTGAGTGCTTGCCTCATATGTGTGAAGGATTGGATTCGATCCTCACCACCACATAAAAATAAATAAACAAATAAAGGTATTATGTCCATCTACAAATTTAAAAAAAAAATTTGTTTAAAAAAAAGAGGTATGAGGGAGCTCTCCTTCATGCAAGCATGCACAGAAGTTGCCACCTCTGAGGAACAGATCCTCAAACCCCTGGTGCCTTGTCCTTGAACTTTCCAGTTTTCTGAACTATAAGAAATAAATTTTCTTTAATTTCCCTACAGCAGCCCCTTAGCATCTGTATTGGGAGACAGTCCTTCATAGGTCTCTTGCACTCTTTATGTCTTGCTGGGGATGGCAAGAATGCAAGGTCCTGATACTGTTTACCTGGGCTATTTCTTAAGATTGTGTTTGCAGAGAGCAACTGTGACAGATGGTATGGCTCCCCCAAGACATAAAGCAGGCTTGCTGGAAGGCTGCTACAGAGTTGTGGTTCCTAGGCTCAGCATCTCCCTCATTTAATGCAACCCACTGTGAATGCAGCCCCCCACACACTGTACCATGGGACTTGGCTGACACGGGGCAATGACATAAACCAACATGAAACTCAGGAATAATAAAGTGTTTTGTCTTTGATTTGAGACTCATGTTTCTGCCAAGATCCATAAGAGATCAAAAGAACAGATATTATTATTTTAAGTAGGGTAAACCACAGACCCCCTAGGTTTTCTCAACACCTGCTGACACTTACCTGGACTACCTGGAGCCCCAGGGAGTCCTGGTTGGCCTGGGATTCCTGGTGCACCTCTCTCACAGGAATGACCAGGCTCCCCTGGGATACCTGGAAATCCAGAAATTCCTCCTCTGCCTTTGGGACCTTTCAGACCTGGGAGTCCAGGAACACCAGCTACCCCTGAAACGATAGAATGCCTCCATGACATTCAATGCTTCAGACTACAGAGATGGCCTGTAATAAATTGTCCATGCATGTCAATACTGGAAGTAAACTTTTCATCCGGACTCAGGGCTCAAATGAACTAAATTTCTAAATGGATTTTTCTTATCATAAATGCAGTGAGCTCCAAATGAATGGAAAAACCAACCGTTGCTAAGTGAGTTACTTGATAAGGTTATGTGAGTGGCAAAGCAGTTACCTATGCAAATAAGAAACCACATGGTTCTTTCTGATTCTAATTAACCTCTACCTTTGCAGTAAGCTTTACACCAAATCTCTATAATACTTACAAACCCAATTTGCACTGTATGAATTTGCATTTTGTAAGAGATTTTATCACTTATACTGTCAAATTTCTATACTGGAAACACAGTTCGTCATCTTCAGAAAGAAAAAGAAAGGCACCATAATTCCGTACCTGAGCCTAAAAAAATATATTTTTCTGTTTTCATTGTATTTTGGTTCATTTGTTTACATTTAAAAATAGTAATGACAGTGCATAGCTATTGGATTATTAAAATAATTTGTGAACAATGCACATTAAATCTGCAAATGTTTTCTGCCTGTTGTAATCTTTACAAATATGATTTCCATTGCTAATAATTGAAAAGTATTTCTTGAGCGTGCGTGCGTGCGTGCGTGCGTGCATGTGTGTGTTTTACTTAACTCTCTTCATTGTTTCCAATGTTTCTTGCACTATGGATAATATGAGAGCATTTCTATAACATTCATCTTCTATTGAACATTTCCCTTGGATACAGTTTTTAAGTGAGAAAGTGGTATTATAGGATCTTACTGCTTTTCAGGTTTTTTTTTTTTTTTTGCATGTAAGTATTTCTGAATTACAAACTACCATGTAAGCTCCCTGAGGGAAAAGACAGGGACTTATTTCCTCAGTCCCCTCCATCTGCCCTATACAGTTTCCCCTGTTATCCCCAGGGAATTGGTTCCAAGACTTCCTGTAGACACCAAAAGCCACAGTTACTCAAGTTCTTGTTATTAAGATGGCTTGGTATTTGCATATAAGTACACAAATTCTCCCATACACTTCAAATCACCTCTAGACTCCTTAGGATACCTAATACAATAATAAAGGCTATGTCAATAGTTGATATACTGGATTGTTTAGGAAATTATGACAAGAAAAAAGTTCTGTACATATTCAGAACAGGGGCAGTTTTTTTTTTCCCCTCAATATTTTTGGTTGATGGCTGGCTGAATCTGAGAATGAGGAATGTGGATAGAGAGGACTGACTACACTAACCTGTGCTAGTGGATACCTAACCAACGCTGGCACAATTAGGAAAAGACCCTGAACAGCATCTGGTCTGTAGACCACACTTAGATCACCCTCACCCAACTCAGTGAAGTTGTGACCCACATGTAAGGGGTCAGAATTTTTAAGACTGGAGTCCTGAAGGTGATCATTTTAATGATACCTCCCAGAGTACTTTTATATATAAAAACCTACAAACTCCACGCCGGATCCTGGAAAATTCCTTAGTGATTTCAGAAAACACCATGAACCAATGTCCAGACCATCTTCCCACCTTGAGTTTCACTGCCTGACCTGCTCACTCATCTGCAGCAAATGTCCCCCCACCCTGTCAACACTGGCAGATATGCATTGTTGCTGTGTGGGAATGAGTTGACCGAGCCATGCTCTGCTGTCCTGCACTTGAAAATAGCCAATAAAATGCCAAGGCATCCGAGGGGGTGCAGGTTGTATGAAATGTAATCAATGCCTACATGTGAGGAAAGGTGCTGGTGAAACATTTAGATTCTAGCTATCTAAAGCAAGATAGTCTAAATGTTGTTCAGGGCCTGTCCAAATCTGAGCTGGAGACCTTAGAACCCTCCTACCTTCTGTCCCTGGGCATCCAGGTTGGCCTTTGGGTCCTTTTATCCCTGGAACTCCTGAAAGACCTCTGTCTCCAGGGGGTCCTGGGGGGCCAAATGCATGATCTCCGGGGATTCCTTTCTGACCTTTCACTCCAGGTGGCCCAGGAAGGCCCGGGGGCCCAATAAGGGAGGATCCCTTTTCACCTCCCAAGCCTGGATCACCCATGTCACCACGAAAACCTATTTAACAACAAAAACATTTAGTAGTTGTGTAGAAGTATAGCACCATGCACATAAGAAGACTGATATTTGATAAAAACACACTTCTAAAATTTACAGGAGTAAGTACTTAATACTTAGGAGAAGGTTAAAAGGTAATCCTTAGAGAACTTAGTAGGTAATTTTGGTTTTGACACCCTTAGTAGGGAGATGAATTAAACTTTGCATTTTCTATAAGCCAATGACATTTCCCTCATTGCTTTCTTTCTCTGGAAAACATTCTGTCTGGACTGAGAAGTTTCAACCACATAATAAACAAGTAATAGCCTATAACTCATGCTTCCAGGTAGAAGGAGCCTTGACATTTATAAGATTATTATAATCTACAAATTATCACAACACATGTAAGGGTCTAATTTATCAAGAAAAAATGATTTCCCCATTACTGAGGAATCCCTAGACCACTTTCTTAAAGTCACCCATTTTTAGAAATATTTAAAAGTTCCCAACAGACTTTCCCAAAGCAGAGAAGTACTTCATTTACCAGGTGGACCTGGTATTTCTGGTATTCCTGGTTTGCCCCTTTGGCCTTTCTGCCCATCCGGACACCTTGGTCCAGGAGCCCCCGGAGGACCTGGAAATCCCTTTGGACCTAAACAATAGCAAAAAAACACAGGCTCAATAAAAACACAAATCAAATGGGAACAAAGAGGGTTTTTTTTTTTGTTTGTTTGTTTCTTTACGTCTATGTCTCTTTTAGAGTATTTCTATTTTATGGAAGCAAAGATGTTGCCTTCCCTGGTTTACAAAATTATTTTATGAACCATGTCCTCCAAATAAGTATTTTGTAAAGTGATTTTGTTAAGGTACTTTCTCAGCAACTGTACTGTAAAGGATTCTTCCTGAAAGTCTTTGTATGAATATCACCATTGAAATGAATTCTTGGTATCCTCCTTTACCGTGTCTCAAACGCAAATCTGCAGGCCTAATCTGTCCTTGTAGGAGGGCCAGGTAATGGCCAGTGTCTAACCTGGTGAGAAAGCACCACAATAAAGGCCAAATTTATTTCCCTGCATCTTACTGCATCAATCCATAAGTGAAGAATAGGCACAAATTCCTGCAAAAGGGATTGAGATTTTACTTTAAATTGTTTGTGATTTCCTGCTAGGAGATATCTCAGTTAATATAACCTACAAATTGTGAGCTTCAAAGGAAGGCCAACTACCAACTTGAAGTTTGAGTGTTCACTTTCCTTGAAGCTAAGGCTGGTGAAAGCAATGAAACGTTTCTTATCCATTCATGACTAGGTATCATTAGAAGAGGAAATGAATGTTCATTCAGTCAGTTACCCAGCAGTTATTCACTCCGCTGATAAAGAATTATACTTCTACACTGTCACCACTGCCTTAAGGTGGGTGGAGTGTACTACCTCCTGCCCTTTGACATGGGGCTTGATTGGCTTTGGCCAAGGGGACATTAACAGCTATTATGCAATACAAGGTATGAAGTGAGGCTGTGAATCTGGGCCTGTCCTTTTGCGTTTCTGCAAACCCATGAGGGCTCTGCTATGGCTGTGTGCTGCAGAACTGGACTTAACCTGGAGCCAGAAACCAAGCCAACAGACTCCATCTTAGATCAGTGGAATCCCCACCAACCTACAGACCCATAAGAAAGAAAATAAATGTGTGTCCTTGTAGCTCACTGAGATTTGTCATCATCGTGATAAAAGTAAATGGCTCTAGAGGGCAAGAGAGAGTTGGGCATCATTTAACCTTTAGCTACTTTTTGTACTGATGTAAGACAAGAAAAATCACCTTTAGAAACTGTGCTAGTGCTTAATGAGTTGATTTAAGTAGACTCTAAAGAATAAAAATGAATTTGGCCAAATCCCTGATACAGATTTGGGTTTAATTCAGCTAAGATTCAAATGAAGCAGATGCATGAAAGTGCAATCAAGAACACAAGCATGTGGGATTTTTCAGAATATGTCTGATCAGAAGCATGTCCTCTTGGAAAGTTGAATGAAGTGAAAATCACAATCCATAAACAAGTGATCCTCTTCAGAAACAGGAAGAAAAGGAAGACACAGCTTTAAAATTCTCAGAGGACATTGTAGCTGATATGTGATTAGATCAAGGTAAATTCTGTGCACCAAAATTTGAAAAGCCCATTCAGAGTGGGCCCAAGCCAGTAGGCTAGGGTTCCAGCTATAAATTATTCCAAAGGCTGTTTTCCCCTAGTCCCATTAGCCCTTAAAACATTATAATAATTTTACAAATATTCTAACTTGATGTCAGGATTTGCTATTGCTTTATCTGTCTTGCTGGTTCTTTTGCTCTGGAAGTGTATAAGACAATAACTCCTCACAGATAGTACCTGGAGGTCCATCAGAACCTGGAGAGCCGGGCCTCCCAGGATAGGTTACATTACAAAGGATGGTGTCACCTGGAATGAAAAGAAGAGAGTCATTTACATAACTGCAAGGTGAGCCCCAGGCAAGGTAAGCCTCAGTGACAACTTGCTTAAGACCTGTTCCCCTATGTGTAGCACATGTAGAATTCAAAGGATCACCTGAATGACACTTCCAAGTATCATTCAGTATATTACTTAAATTGCATTAATCCAAGCTGGGCTCAGTGATGTGTGCCTGTAATCCCAGTGGCTCAGGTGACTGAGGCAGGGTGATCACAAGTTCAAAGCCAGCCTCAGCAACTTAGCACCCTGAGCAATTTAGTTAGACTATGTCTCAAAAACAAAAAAGGCTGGGGATGTAGCTCAGTGTTTGAGCAGCCCAAGGTACAATATCTGGGACCAAAAAAAAAAATGCTTTTATATCAAATTTTGAGAACTATCCTGAAATCTGAATTTCAGCTGTCTGAAACATTATCAGCATAATGAATATAAGAAAGACACTGTTTCTAAGTATGTGTCCATAATCTAGAAAAAACCAATGTGCTCACAGATCCATAGGCATCTGTACTAACAGGGCCCTTGGTATCCAACATGACAGAATCAGAAGCTTTAACAAATCATGAAATAGCACAAGGCCCCCAAACAGAGTTGAGAGTTGGCAACTTGTTTGCACAATATAGAATTATACAAATGAAGAGACTGAACTAGACACCAATAAAGCTACCATTCAGTAAGGGCCTGCCATGTGTCAGGTACTTTAAATATATTGTCTTTGGTTCTTTTAATGACTAAGCAATGTAGCTGTTATCATCCCCATTTTAATTGGTGAGGAGAATAAGACTTCAAGCCTGTGCCTTGGAGTTCCAGGATCCTACTAAAATTGAAGGTGTCTCTTTTGTAAAAGGAATATCTCACAATTTATTACTACATATAATTTCAAATCCAAAACATACAAGATGAGTACAAAAATCTGTCACTAGCTCTGCATGACATGGCAGAAACTAAGGGAACAGTGTTTGATAGAGTAATTGCAAGAATAGGAATGTATTAGTTTCAGAAGTTACTGAGGTGGCCCATTCTATCCTAGTGGGAAAAAAAATATCAGATGAATAAAAATGATGCACCAGGCACGATGGCCTAGTCTGTAATCCCAGTGGCTCAGGAGGTTGAGACAGGAGGATTGTGAGTTCAAAGCCAGCCTCAGCAACTGTGAGGTTAAGCAACTCAATGAGACCTGTCTCTAAATAAAATACAAAATAGGGCTGGGGACGTAGCTCAGTGGTTGAGGACCTCTGAGTTCAATCCCTGGTACCCCTGCCTAAAAATAATCATGCTAGAGTTTTGGGGGTCATTAGACTTACATCTTTATCTTGTACAAAAACTTATACCTTATCAAATACAAAGGTATTTGTTAATCTATATTGTCAAAGCAAGCAACAAATAATTATTTTATTTTAAAATCTCAAAATTAACAATATAGGCCAAGATATATGTACATTATAAAAGAAATTTTAAATAAAAATTTTTGGTCACCTTCCTAAAAGTTTCAGCTATAACCCTGAAAATCATTTTATTCTGTGAAAGTCACACAACTGTTAAATATATTTAAAATTATCCTCTTTTTTTTCTTCCCAGAATGCTTACAACTGGTTTTTCATGAAAAATGATTCTTTTAAATGACATACTAGTGTTTCTTTTATTAAAATATACTGCATTATCTCAAAAGATAACAAAAAATAGATACTTTGAATATATATGCATATATATAATGTATATATATATATATATATATATATATAATATATATATATATATATATATATATGTATAATTTTAATATAGTCAAACTATATGAGTTTATACTGATAAATGAATGAAAAGCAATTTTGGTATGCAAACAAATAAATCAAGAAAGATAACTAGGTATTTTAAGAATTTGCATTAAATATTGATTGTATTGCAATCTTGACTACCTGCAAGATACAGAGAGTGCCTGGGTAGAATTTTATTTATCTAATAAGCCATACCTATAATCACTTTGCCCAGCAGAGACTCACTATAGCTCTCACAATTTCACTTAATATTCTGCCACAAAAGTATTCAAGATTACCTTTCTGCCCCTTCAAGCCAGAGGGCCCCCTCAGACCTGGGTGGCCTGGAACTCCTGGTGGACCTCTCTCTCCCGGTGGACCAGGAAATCCCAGTCCTGGAGGCCCCACAGGTCCTGCTTTCCCAGGGGAGCCTGGTAGTCCAGGAAAACCTTTACCACCTGGGGCTGCATCTTCATGATCCCCCTGGGAATGTTTATATCATAAATCAATTACCAATCTTTGAAAGTCCATGAACTCAAAGTAGTCATTATAGTCTATAGAAACAGGTAAAAGTTCATTAATTCCAGGAGACAGTTATTCTGTAGCAAGTATAATTTAAAATCATTCACTTTGATTCTTCCAAATATTTTACAAATATATTTTGTATATTTACACACATATTTATGATATGAATGTGTGTGCTATCCCTCAAATACACAAAATCAGGTGCATGATGTACCTTAAATACAGAATAAAGATTTTATGTAGAACTGCTCTCTAATATCAAATATCAAACAATTTAGAAATAAGTAAATCAAGGGATGTGGTGGGCTTATGAATCAAGTGATTTCTTATGTGTTTGAAATTGTTTGCCTGCATTCTTATGTGAAGGTACAGGAATTCACTCCATCACCCTCTGTATCTGTGGGCAAAGAATGAACAAATACTTTCCCCTTCTGCATGAGAATTTGACCTTTGTTTGACAGTCAAGCTCTGTTTTTCTGGAAACCTGATAACAATCGGATAATCAACTGTATTCCTAGGCAACATTGCTTAAGGTAAAATGGATCCTTGAATGCAAAGTTTGCATCTGGTCTGGAGGGACTTAAATACCTGTGGGGAGTCTTTACAGTTGATAATTCCCTGAGTGGTAGCACCTATAAATGGCATGTCTGCAAGCTGCTAGTTGAGATGGCACCCTGTGGGGCATGAGGCTCTCAAATCAGGGCTGCTCCTGCACCCGCCATATGCAATTTCATCTTCTTGCCACTACTGAATGAACAGCTGCAAGGATTCTCAACTGTGAGGGACACCTGGCACTGTCCTTTGGCAAGTTGAGAGTCCTATTTTCCAGTGTCCTAAGTGGCCTGACCTCAAAGTGGTCTATATTAATCTTGTGGGTCTGAATTGTTTCAATTAATCTAGGAAGAACCATTCTCCCCAGTGTGTGTTGCACAAAAGTAGATGCTGTAGAAATTCCTCTCCCAATTTGATCTGTAAATACATTGCTTTTTCCACATTTACATGAGTGCATTAGGACAATTGCCATTTGGTTTCCAAATGGTTTAAGAGGAACAGTGAATAAAGCAACAATTACCAAACCTAAAACAGAGATCATTTATGTACTTGATACCAGCCAAAGGCCATAAAAGCTATAAACACCACTGAACCCAATTTTCAAGCTCTGTCTCTTGTCCACATGTATTTGTTTGAAGGGGTTTCCTGTAAAATCAGATCATGGCCCTTCCTACTATAACACTCTGATTTCTCATCACATGTGGCCAGCACATTTGGATATAAAACAGACTGAAATTTTCATTTCTATTTATCCTGCTTGATAGGTGGACAACCTTGAGTGACATACCTTAAGCCTCCATTTCATTTCTGCAAAACTGGGAAGATGACTGCCCTCCATTAAATTGCTCTTACTGACACCCCAGCCCAGTCCCTGTGATACTATATTGAGCTGCATCTTGGTAAATGGAAAAGGAGTAAAAAGATATGGGTGTGTGTGTGTGTGTGTGTGTGTGTGTGTGTGTGTGAGAGTGTGTGTGTGACTGTATTACAAAGGGAAAATAAATGGCAGGAGAAGTGCACAAACCCGGGGTCCCGGATCCCCCTTTTCTCCAGCATGTCCATCCTGACCATGTTGCCCGTGCTCTCCTGGAAACCCTGGGGGCCCATCAGGTCCTCTTTCTCCTTTGTGCCCTAGAAATGGAGGCCAAAGGACATTCAAATTCTTATCAGCAGGGATGTAAGTAGAAGGAAAGCTTGGACTAAAGATTAAAACAATGGCTTGACCCTTGTGTGGGTTGGTAGAGTTTCCTGAGTGTCTCAGTTGTTGACAGTCACATAAACCATGCCAGAGCCAGAGGGGAAAATGACAATTGTCTAACCATTTGAATCTCTCTCTCTCTCTCTCTCTCTCTCTCTCTCTCTCTCTCTCTCTCTCTCTCCCTCTCTCCCTCTCTCCCTCCCTCCCTCCCTCGTTTGTGTGTATGTGTGTGTGTTAGTTACTGGGAATTAAATCATTTTACCACGGAGCTAAGTACTCAGCCCTTTTTATTTTTTTATCTTGAGACAGGCTCATGATAAATTGCCTAAGTTGGCCTCAAATATGTTATCCTCTTTCCTCAGCTGGAGTCACAGGTGTGGGCCACCTAGCCTTTCACATGTTGTTTAGGTAAGTCAGTGAATTACCCTCTCCCCAAACTGCTCCATGCTAAGTGTCGGTTACAATTAAAACACTCTGGACTAACACAGGAGACTATAATGCAGGAGCAAAGAAAAGGCAATTCAAAGGAGGTTTTGTTTCAAACCCAAGTTCAACTACAATGAGGATTTGAGTATGTGACTAAAGAAACATTTATGTTTTCAAGTAAGACAGGGGATTTGGAACTAAACATTCACACCGCTCTATGAAGGGCAGGAAATATTTTTTTTTAGGCAATCTCAACAGTCCTAAATTATACAGAACTGAAATAAGGGAAATAAAAGCAAAATCATGGACCATATGTCATTCATAAATGTCAGGGGGATAAGTGGCTGATCCTACTCACCTTTAACTCTGGATACAACCATGTCACCTTTGGCTCCTTTGTCACCAGGGCGTCCCGAAGCACCAGGTTTTCCCTTGGTGAAAAATAAGAGCAATAATGAGATTCGTTGTGATGGATCAAAAGTTATTCCCATTCAAAAGTCACAAACATTCATATATATCTAATCTCTCTCTGTTTTCATCCTAAATCTCTTGTTAAAGATTCTAGCATGTCGTTCTTAGTCTTGCTTCCCAAGGTGGTCCTCCCTTATAAAAGGCTTTCAACGTACATGTGAAAGACGATCAAATCTAAATAAGGTCCATACCTGAGTCAAAAGAAACTCATTAGTGTTGATTTCCTAAGCTTAGCAATGTGTGATGGTTACATAAGACACCATGGTGGGGGTGGGGGGCTGGGGAAAGATCTATGGAAATCCCACATGATGGTGCAAGCTCTTGTGAGTGTTTTACAAATTACCTTGGGGCTGGGGTTGTGGCTCAGTGGTACAGCGCTTGCCTAGCACATGTGAGGCACTGGGTTCGATCTTCAGCACCATGTAAAAATAAATAAAAAGAGGTATTGTGTCCATAAAAAAAAAATACCTGGGGCTATGTACTGTAGACTTGAGAGCAAAGAGGGTGAGTTAAGCAAAAACGTTGCCACAAAGCTGAAGGCAGAAGTCTGTCATGGAACATTGACTGTTGGGGAAGCTGAGAAGCAGGAGCAGGGAAACAGGCCTTGGCCTGCACATTGCCTCTGTCCAGCAAGGAAACAGCCAGGTCTGACGGGTGAGCTCAACACCTTTGGCCATCACGTTGCCCTATGTGAGACCACTTTTTAAGTGCTACATATTACTGAATACCAAACCACCTCAAAATTATGGAAACCTCTTTTTGGTATAGTAGGCAGCCACACGCCACATCAATGCCCTTGTAAAAATGCTACATGTAGCATGACCTTGTGCATCTAGTGACCTGGAGGACAAAAAGCAGGGAGGAGGGGGAGTGCCTGAGTATGTGTGTGTGTGTCAGTTAGTGGGAATTAAATCACCCTGGGCGCTGCTCCTTTGTCTTATTTTCATACAGTCTAAAACCATGTTCAAGGCTGCTTCATTTTCTCTTAGTTGGCCACTAATTTAGAAGCTGTGAGCTGTAAATGGGAGGAAAGGTATCAGTAAGGATAAGGTTCATGGCAGCACCGAGCAATCACAGAGAAGGGGAAGCCAAAAGTGGACATGACAGGCATCAAAACTCGAATGGGCAAAATGGCTGAGAGCTGTTTAAATGTAAAGAAAGAACAGCTCCATACCTGTGACTCCGCCTACCCCGCACCCTGAGAACATCCCTGCAGCAAACCACCCTGTCTGAACTCAGTCTGTGAGACATGGAAACAGAGAGTGGGACAAATTTCTTATTAAATAGGTAAATTAGAAAAAAGAATCTTAGCAATCATAAAGTGCTAATAGGGGTTAAGTGTTACTTTAATCTTAATTTGTACTAAGTCATAAGTGATAACAGCAATAGGCCAAAGTGTGGGGTATATAGTATTCTGTGGAGGCAGATAAAGAGAATGTCTTTCGGGTGGACAAACTGTCAAGTCAGAAATTTATTCATATAGCATCGCACCAATATCTCTCCAAGGAGAGAACATGTGGGGTGTGCTTCCTAAGAAGCCCCTGGTGCTCTGGAAATGATCCCAGCCTGGGAGGCCAAGCAGGTTATTACTGAGCACATTGGAGACTTTGAATGGACTAGGGTTTGTTTTAATGTCTTATGGATGTAGGATTTTCAGTACAAGGTCAAATCATAGGCTTACTAGAGCTAGTCTGGAAAAAAGTATCAGTGTTGTCTTTAGATATCTTTAAAGAAATATTTACTAAGATGTTACTGAACATTTTGAAAGATATGAAGTAGCAGACATTCCTCTGAGTACTGAGGGTTCAGCAGCTGACAAGACCTTCTTGCCCTGGTGGCATCTAGTTACTAGCGAAACAGGCGTTTAACCTAAGAGATTCCTGGGCAAAACTTCTTCACCGCAGCTTTGGGATTGAGAGCTATTTCTCACAGTTCTAACACCTGAAATCACAACCATTTATGTTAATGTAAGAAAAATTCCAAAGCAGCAGAGGTTCCTCTCTGCAGGGCACATTCAAGTTGTCATGTGCACAGTCTAGATCAGAGACTTCAGTCACAGATGCCTAGAGGTTGTGCCTGTCCAAGGGAAGCTGGTGGGTGACATGGTGGGAACCTGATAGGCGCAGCCATCTCTGCAGACATACCCAGGCACTGGGGGAAATATATTAACCTTGTCTTCCTGTGTGTCCAGTTTCTCAAGGAAAGCCATCCATGTCATGTTAATAATTCTAAAGAAACACATCAAGGACACAACCACATGCCTCAAGGGTCAGATTTAGCCCATGACAACTTGTGACATCTGGTTTGCTCCCAGATTCCTCGGGGACAGTGACCCTGGCTCTTTTGTTCACTAGCATGTACCTGAGAGCTCTCAAAACAGGGCTCTACTGAATATTTACCGACCAAATTGTAAGACAGTGTTGCTATACCCATTTTATCAATAATATGACTAAGGTCCAGAAGACTGCAGAGCTCACAGATGTGAGAGATGGGATTGGAAGCTGGTCTTCCTGTTCCCTGGCCTGAGAGCCTTGCAGGAGAGCATCCTGGTGGGAACCTCAACCCAGGCAGCACTTGTAGGCTAAGGCAACAGATACAAAGACTTGGTTCAATCACAGGGAAATTGCAAAGAACTTTCTTTTCTGTTTTCTAATTTCCTACCAGTCTGTGGCTGCAGGCCCAGGGACCAGCCCATGAGAGAAGAGAAACTTGATAGTTTCTGTGGTCCCTTCCTGCTCTCCTCACATCTGCCTCTCCTTCTTTCCCACTCCTAGTGGTTCATAGTACAGTCCTTGTCCCTGGCTGTGACTACAGTGAAATGGATTTTGTGCAGAGAAGTCACAGGGTCAGAATCATACTGAATAGGGCATCAGAAATGGGGCTAGTTGGAAAATGCAAGCCCTAGAGCAATTGAAATAAGCAAACCTTGCCCAGGATAACCCTGCATGACCATGCTCAAAGGTGCTTGCCCTGAGAAGCAACTCAGTGTAAAGCCACAAACATATTTTAGAGCTGTCAACAATGTCATTAAGATGAGTAAGTATCCACACATGAAAACAGCTGTGATAAAATGTTGAATTAAAAAAACAGCAAACTTAAAAATGCAAATTATTATATAACCATGTTCATTCAACATGTAGGCATCAAGGACCAGCTTCCTGTGAAGTAGACTTTGTGAGCGTGCTTTATGTGATGAGAGAGGGACTTGGAGACCTTAATTGTCACCTTTGCTTTAAGCCCTCAGATTGGAACCTTCTTTACATGATATTTTTTTTTCTGGGAGAAATGAAGAAGAGTACTTTGGGCCTGATGGTCAAGCCCAGGTTGCCCCAAAATTAAACTCTTTAATAAGGAGTGGACAGAAAGGTTGACCATAGCCTCCACATAGGCCCCAGTGGTCTTTGATTTTATTCTGAGGGGTCAGACAGCAGAAAGTCTCATTTGTAACTCTTAGAAAATAAGAACTTGAACTAGGTCTCAACCTTCTGGCACTGAACATCTCGCAAACTCTGACAAAGCCAGTATCTGGACCTCCAACCCAGACCTCTTGTCTGAATCCTGAAGTTGAAATCCTCCCGCTGCCTCCTTGACATCTCCACTTGCTTGTCTAGTAGACACCTGCTTGTTTGGAATGCCCCACAGGCACTGCTTCCTTCTCCACCAGTACTGGCTCCTTCCAGTGTCTTCTCCATCTCAGTCTAGGGCAACCTTCTTCCAAAGACTCAGGCCAAAAACTCAGCTGCATCCTGGACTTCTGTTCGTTCTGTATCCTCTGTTCAAGCTAACAGTCAATCTGTTGCTTCCATCTTCAGAATCTACCTAGGATTGGACCACCTCTCACCCCTCCCAGCACCACCACTTTAACCCAGTGTCATCAGGATTCCTTGGCTAAGCTTCTCGCTTCTTCCCTTATCTGTCGTCTTTTCTGCACAGAAAAACCAGCAGGAGTGATTTATTCAAAATGAATGTCAGAGTGTGTCTCTTCTTAAAACCCTCCCCTGGCTCTTCATGATGCCCAAAGCTCAGATCTACCTCACCTGCCAAGCACCATGCTCTGCAGCCACACCTAACTCCAGCCACCTCTTTGAGGCCATCTCTTCCTGCTCTTCCCTCATTCTCATTGGAGCCACACTCAATGGTGATGGCCTTTGTCACCATCTGCCATGCCCTGAATTTACTCACTTATCTGTTACATGTTCTGTGTCCTTCCTGAAGCTCTGGGAGGGAAGGGACTGTTCTGGTGTCCTTCCCAACTGGAGCAGTGCCTGAAACATAGTAGGCACTTAATAAATATTAATTAGTTGAATAAATGAATGATGAGTGGAAGAATGAATGAAAATAGGTAAATTTTTAAATTTTATTTTATATTTTTATTTAAAAAAATTTAGTTGTAGATGGACACAATACTTTTATTTTATTTTAATCATTTATTTTTATATGGTCCTAAGGATCAAATCCAGGGCCTCACACATGCTAAGCAAGCGCTCTACCATTGAGCTACAACCGAAGCCCCAAGTACCTAACCTCTTAGTCATTAAGATGTTCACAGGTTCAAAGCATAAAATATATATCATATTAAGACCTAGAAAGAGGCCCATTAAATTCTCTCTCAGTCTCTGTAGCTGGAAAGATTCTAACTAGTAGGAGGTACTCACTGGTGGCCCTGGAGATCCTTCAGGACCAGGAGGGCCTGGGTCACCTCTTTCTCCAAGAAAGCCAGGCAGTCCTAAGTCTCCTTTACTCCCTTGCCTCCCAGGAAGTCCTGGAGGGCCAGGCGGGCCCACAGGACCAGGTTGGCAGGCACAGAGTCCTTCATTTCCTAGGCAAAGGATAGAAGTTATCTTTGTCACATTTCCTGAACAAAATCCCCAATAAGAGCTTTACTATACAAAAACAGTCGTGTGAATACAGAACAAAAAGACTCTGATGTACACGACTCTTATTACAAAGGATTATGAAGGATATAGCATGGGGCAGGTTTCAGGGGTAGCTAGACATGGTCCCTATGAGGTGAGGTGAATATATATAAACTCAGGGAGTGTTTCGGGTCTTAATGAACTCCCCCTAATAAATTCTAGGGAGAAAACTGAGATCCATTTCCACTGAAGGATTGAGAAGTCTTTATTTGGTTTCCATTGAGGAAACAAACAAATAAATAGGAGATAAACCCTGAATAATCAAGGAAACAAAATAATATATAAAGAGGGATTATTGATGGCACTGCTTATGACAATTGCTAATTCAGCACAATGCAATGCCAAGTCATCAGGACTTTTAGTCTTTAAAAAGGCCTTTAGGTGAAACTCCTCAGTTGTATTTCCGTTCTATTACTACCTTAGTTGCTCAAAAAGACTCAATTACATTCAGAGTGGAGAAACATAGAGGCCCAGGCATTCAATGAGTCTGGAAAGTGCAGGACCCACAGAGAGAAACTAGAATAGTATGTCAGCACTGTCCTATTTCTGCCACTCTGAAGGAATCAAGAGGACCTTGTGAGTAGAGTCACCCTTTGGGTGTGAGTTGCATTCATGGCTAAGAGACAGAAGTGGACATCATGGTGACTTAGCCACAGTGCAGCACAGAATGCTGAGGTGGCCTCACAGGGAACAGCCAAGGTGGATGGCTAATGGGGATAAACCGTCCCACAGTGCACCTCACAGAGCCCCAGACCCTGCACCTGGGGTTGTCTCCAAAAACCTTTCCCTGAATCACACTTGCCTTTTTCTCCTTTTGAGCCTCTTCCTCCTGGGGGACCTACTTTGCCCTTTATTCCTGGTGGTCCCGGGTGCCCAGCACTACAATATATCGCTGTACAGTGGGCAAGAGGGGCAGGGAGAGTCACATCGTTTTGGTTAATGTCTTCAATTGAAAGAGAATCTCTCGCTCACGTCCTCCTCCTCCCCCTCCCCGTTCCTCTCTCATCCCCAAGCTCCAATCCCTTTTTTCTTAAGGATTCTCTCTCCTGATATAGGAATATGAACACATACAGACCATGTGACTGTCGTGGCATGGCCTAAGAGCTGACAGAGTCCTCGTTACTCTCAGCCATAAGTTAGAGAGCTACAGAACTAGGTAGTGGACAGCAACCACAAAAACACATCAAACAAGTTTCTTCTTCTTCTTCTCCGCCCCCCCCCCCAATGGGGTGTATGGAAAATATTTTTTCCCTTCAAATATCAGTCATTAGTTAATGAAGAAAAACATAAAGATGGCTTGGAAAAGCAAAATGTCGGAGGCGTTGGGTTAAAGATGACAGATAAAATGCCAATGATAAATTCCCTAAATCCTGGTAGAATTAAAGACAGTAAAAGAATATTAGAAAAAGGCATAAATCTACAAGATAAAGGAAGAGGAACAAACAGGCAAAAAATGAGGCAGGAAGTCCTTGTCCACCCTAAAAATGGTGAAATCCAAGCAGGCTGTGGGGAGAGCTGGGGAAGAACTGGATCTGTATCAGAATCCGCCCTCACTGGAATGATGGTGAGGCTCAAAGAGGGATTTGTCAAAGAAAGAGACAGGAAGAGCCCCTTCCCCAAAACTGCAGCAGGAAACAAACAATATCCCTTCCAACCGTAACACCCGAAATTGGAGGAAACCGACACGCACTAAGAACAATAGTTATAGAAACTGGGCAACTTATATAGCAGATGAGGGAGAGCATTCCACCCCGAAACAAAAGAAAACGTTAATAGAGAAGAACACAGAAACAGAAACACGCACATGTTAATCGTGAGAGTTGGAAAATGGAGTCAATGACATCTCCTCCAAAAAATGTAGAAAATAAAATGATGACGACTAATCAAGAGAGATTAGCACTTAAACTCTCAAATAATTGCACATACTTTGATATGATAATCCAATTTCAGTTTATATTTGCAATAGATTTTAATATCATTAAGTTGGCCCATGAAACATGATATACTTTTTTGATATTTAGAGAGTCCTGCTTTCTGAATGAACCTCACATATCAAATGCAGTATAAATACCAGTGAATGCAAAGGAGGGATACTTTACCATCTGATCCTGGGCGTCCCTGCAGCCCTGGAGCTCCAGCCTGGCCAGGTAGTCCTGGCCTCCCCGGCTTTCCTGGGGCAGAGTCAGGTCTCCCAGGAATACCCGCTAGCCCAGGAAACCCTGGAGGACCAGGAAACCCTGGTGGCCCAGGGGGTCCCACCATGCCTGCAAGAGAAATTAAGAATGAAAAACCACACAGAGTAAATATTTCTGTAGATGAAATGAAAATCAGTGTGTTCTTCTCCAGATCATGAGATTTCTTAAAGGAAAAAGGATGGAACAAGAGGACGTTAGGCTCAGTGAAATAAGCCACACCCGGCAAGAGGAAGACCACATGATCTCACTTACATGTGGGGTCTACAAACCCATAGAAGCAGAGAGTAGAATGGAGGATGTCAGGGCTGGAGGAAGGGAGATGGGGTGATATTGGTCAAGGGTTCAAAGTCAGCTATGCAGGATGAGGCAGCTCTGGAGTTCTAATTACAGCGTGGGGTGGGAGTTGACAACACTGGACTGTGTACTTGAAATTGCTAAAGGAGAGATCCTAATTCCTTTCACCACACACACAGATGATCACTATATAGAAGTGACGGACATGTCAATCAACTGGAATGTGGTGATCATTTCACACCATATGCCTACATCAGAACATCGGGTAGTAGACTCATAATTTTAGGTTAATAGAATCTCTCTCTCTCTCTCTCCATATATATATATATATATATATTCCTTCTTTCTGAATGACCCAGAACATACCAAATGTAGTATAAATGCCAGTAAATGCAAAAGAGAAAAAATTTCCCTTTTTTTTTTTTTTTGGTACCAGGAATTGAACCCAGAGGCACTTAACCACTGAACCACCAGCTCCTTTTTACATTTTATTTAAAGACAGGGTTTTGCTGAATAGCTTAGGGCTTTGCTAAATTGCTGAGGCTGGCTTTGAACTTGAGATCCTCCTGCCTCAGCCTCCCTGGGATTACAGGCATGTCCCACTGCACCTGGAAGATAAAGCTATTTTTTTTTTAAATAAAAAGAAAACTGTTCTCTCTGATAATGCTCCAAAAAAGGTGATGTTTAAGAAGTTTGTTTTTCCATAAGGCAGATTGCTACCTACCTATAAAACAGGAGTTATAATAATCTGAAAAAAACCATATTTTTAAAGAAGGGGAAAATGAAAAAAAAAAACAAAACCTGAATATCCCAACTATTAAAATGCCTCACCTCCTTTGAATAAATGATACAAATGGAAACAGACAAGTTTGAAGAATCAAATTTTCTTACTTTTTCCACAGTTTTAGGGTTACTGGGAAAGAAGTGCTTTTTATTTAATTAAAGTTGTTACCTTTTCAATTTTTCCACCTTAATAACTTGGTAAAAAATAATTCAAATACACCTACAAGTCCATGTAATGGCGAAAAACATAGATTCACATAATTATCTGTGTGGAATATAAAATACCCTACTTCTCACAGCAACTCAGGGTGGTGGGGAAGCACAGAGGTGAGATTTGAATTTGGCCTCTCTTGCTCTAGCTACAGGATCTTAAATAGGTTATTTAGCCAGCAAATCCTCTGTATCTACTTGGTAGGCTTGTTATGAGGATTAAACAAAATAATCCACTCAAGGAGTTTAGCACAATATTTAGCAATAACAAGGTGTTTAGGGTATTCAGACAAAGTCCAAACAAGTAATACAACTGCAGGAAATCCTGGCTGCCCTTGACATCTGTGATGTCTGTGGCTTAAAGACAGTGGCTGGAAGCTTGGGATGAGAGTAACCACTTCTGATAGCTCCTTCTGCCTAAGCTTGCCTGGTTCCTGAATCTTTCCATGGAAGACTGCATTTCTCAAAGATGGCCCCACAATAGCACCAGTCCCACATGCCCCTGTAGAACCTTGACTTTTCCCTATTGAGAAAAGGGGTGTTCCCTTCCCTTGAATGTGGCCCTTGTGGAAGACTCTTGCCTTGTAAGCTGAGACATTTGGGACTTAGAGTTTGGTGTGACCAAACAATCTCAATTCTCTGCAGTTCCTGGTGCTGTGAGGAAGCCTAAATTAGGTAGAAAGTCCATCTAGGGCACCTGGAACTACACGAGCAACAGGAAAGAGATGCTGAGCCATGCCTGAATCTCCAGTCCCAGCCCCTTCTGTGATTGCAACAGGGGGAAAATCCAAAAGTCAGAATGGCTCCCTTCAGCCCTTCCTGAACTCTTGAACTTCAGAGTTAGAGGTGACACACCAATTGCTGTTGTTTCAAACCTCTAGGTTTTAAGTAGTTTGTTCAGCAGTAGACAACTGAAACCTGTCATAATGGGTAAGCATAGCATGCTGGGTAAGTTAATGGCTACCATTAATGTATACACATGTGCTGGGGCTTTGCCTATGTTTGCAAAAATCATCTTTCCTCCTCAAAGAACTCTGTGGAGTTTATACCTTACAGATAAGGCACAGAAAGTTTAGGCCAAGTATCAGTGACAATAGTAATAGCTGACACATTGAGATTTTGCTGTACACCAGGCTGAATTTGAAGGACTGTATACATATAACTTTTTCAACCCTAACAAGACTCCCTATTACAGATGGGAAACTTGTATGTAGTAGAAATTAGAATGTTTCTAGTTCATAGTGTAAATTTCTAAGAGTTTTACTATCCTAATTGTATTATGTGGTTTCCACTGAATGGTAAGGCTGGGATTGGGTTATCATTGACTGACTCTGAAGCCTTTCTTATCCCATGGTAGATACTACAGATAATTATCAAATAAAATTTTTATAACAGGGCTAAAAATATGGGTGTACTTAGAACAGATAAAAGTGTGCCCCTGTGCGTTTGGCGACCATCTGGACTTCCTGCCTTCCTGGGGAGCTGACTTGGATTCTCCACATCCAGTCTGTGGTTGATGTGGATGCTGCCTTATGTCTTGTTTCAGGACAAGGAGAAAGCTGATCCATCTGGATGGCTTATCTCAGCCTTGCCCCACACAGAAGAGCATGACATCAATTAAATTGTGTCTAACATCACACAAAAAATTTTTTCAAAAGAATGAAATGGAAAAAAGAATGTATCTTATACCAAAAAGGTATTATTATGTTTCAATCTGTGTGGATAGAAAGTTGTACATGTAATGTAAAATAAAAGCACATACTATGATGGCTTATAGTCAAGATTCAAAAACCATTGGGTCTATTTACTTGAATAGGGCTGTGGAATTGAGAATTTTCCTGTCTATTTTGATCTGAATCTGCTAGTGACCCTTTTTACTTCCTCCCACTGTGTTTTGATTTCAATCTCCAGGAGACATTATTTTATTATAAACAAGCCCCAAAGGAGAAATCTAAGACCAGAGTTCAGTGCTTTCTGACCAACAGAATATTCTATCTGATTTACATAATCCTAGGTTAATTAAGCCAAGATTACATTAGCTTTAAATGAATTAAACAAAGCTCATTACTTTTGTGGTCATCACATCTTACAAAGAGGAAAGTAGATTTAAAGATCATTAAACAAGAATTTTGAAGTTAGAAGTTGAATATCTCAGGAATCTTCTCAGGCTCTCTTGGTAATTATAACAAGAGGTACTGGCTAGATAAAATTACATTCATTCAACAGATGTAGTCAGTTCCCCTGGGTGCAGAGAACACACACATTTTCCAACCTTTTTGATCCCTAAACTTGCCAAGAATACTGACCAGCACAGCTCCCAGAGGAGTTGGAATCCTTGTATCAGTTGACCTCTTTCCCAGGCTTTCTGTCCAATGTCACTGTGACCTATAGTTTTGGGGGCTCTTTATGGTGAGAGTGGAAAGCCTCTTGTTTTTGAAGTAAGGCTAAATCAAAGTTTCCTTTTGCAATCATCATTTTTATCTGCACATTTCATGGAGAAGAGTTAGATTGGGGCCTAGGTGGATAAAGAGAATTTTACAAGTCTGTGGCAACAGGGAGAGCCTTCCAGGAGACTGGGGAAGCTGAGGAAACACTATAACCCAGCAGCAGATTCCATAGTGTCTGAGGTGACAGTTCTGTAGGAGGTCTGTTATACGACCCACACCTTCCTCGCAAGACCACTCTGTTGACTGACCATCTCTGAGGTCCAGCTGAGGAACCCATATTCCTTCCAAGTAAGTAATTGACTGGTTTGCGCACAATGCTCCTTAACCCTGGATGTGCACTAGAAATTCAGAGCCCAGCATTCTGAATCTGCTCTGAATGCAAGCATCAGTTTTCTTTAGAGCTGATCTCAATCTCAACTAAAGTTGAGGATCACAGGTGTGTGAGGTAGGAAATCTGGCATATGAGATATAGTGGGTTCCTACCTGGACAAGTGTCTCCTGGTCTGCCAGGGTGACCTGGGGGACCCGGTGGTCCAACAGCCCCCATTTCTCCATAGCGGCCAGGGAACCCTGGGTCCCCTGGAGGACCTGCCAAAGATCATGAAAGATGTGAATAAACAAAATTTAGTATACATTTTAAAATTCAGACATAATGATTTTTGCGGGGGAGGCTTGGTAAAGTCTAATTAGGAGACTCAAGCAGTTTCCTGCCACCTTTTAAGTGGAATATCTTAGACAGGATCGCCTTCTGCCATCCCTTCTCTGCAAATACATAAACTTTGAGCAGAGTTCTCTTATTGATTTAGGCCATGCCTTTCTTGGCTGTAGCATCTTGTTTATGTTAGTAAAAAAAAATGATCTGATCCATTTTGTGGCAATTAAATGAAACTATTTTCTGATGGATGATGTAATAAAAATCCCAGCATACAGTTTACCTACTGAAATAAAATGTGATGTCTTATGGCAATAGACATGAACTAGGATGTACAACTCTGCATCTTTTCCTGCACATGTAGAATCTATTCTCCTGCTATACTTTATGTATTTAACCTTCCTGATGTACAAGCTACAAGACCACTGGGCCAGACTCTTTTGTCTGGATCGCTGAAATCCCATTTCTGCAAAAATTATAAGGGAACAAAAAGGAACACAAACCTTTGAGTGGAAGAGATGGAGTTACCAAAACACCTGGTGGTCCAGGGTACCCACGGTCTCCAGGATCCCCCTGAAATTATTCAATTTTTTTCAGAAATACTATTATTTCAATGGTGTTGCCTTGGTATTAAACATATGTTAGAAGGACTGTGTGCATTCTTATAAGAAGTCAAGATTATAGGCTGACTAGAGAAATGATTGACTTATGGAATCTTAGGAGGACAAAGATATACCTAATCTCCAGCCAAAGCATAGAGTTAAATGGTGAACTGACAAAGCTTTCACAAAAGAAAAATAAATTTTAACTCCAACAAAATTATTCTACTCCCATAAATTAAATTCTTCAGGAATCACTCAATTTCTTGGATGTACTCTGATCACTTGGTACTCTAGTGCAAATAGCTTATTCACCTAATAAGATCGGAATCTACATTTTATTTTAGATGCAAGTATTGTCTTCTTTAACTACGTCCTGAGCTAGGACTGAATGTGAGGTCACAGAGGTTACAAAAGAAAGAAAAAAATGCTATGGTGGTAAAAAGCAGACTGCTCTTCAAGACCCCATCTCAATACTATGTAATGCCATGCAATTATTGAAACTTTCACTATTACCCCGTTTCAAAAGAATTATTTCTCAAATGTAAATCATAATCATGCTTAATATGATAATGATTTGATAACATAGTAATCATGCACAATAATGTAGGGCACACATAAAAATAATGTACATAAAATTCACTCTTTCGAAAGTTACACTTTTTGATTCTTCAAAATACTTTTGAAAATAAATTTGATAACATAAAGGGTATAAATTTTTACCTTAAATAGTTTCAGTCATTTACCTTTGGGCCAAGAAATCCAAACAGCCCAGGATCTCCAACCGGTCCTTGTTCTCCCTAAAAACAAGCAAAAACATTCATTTTAAAAAATGACATATGATCAGGTGACAAGTTGCCTCAATTTCATTTAATTTGGACAATGCATGCTCACTCAGACCCGCTCTCAACACTGCTCTGGGGCTGCATCAGGCAGTTTAGTGCTTCAGGTTTTGCACCCACAGCTAAATCCTGCAATCCATAAAATGAATGCTGGCCTTTCCAATTCTGTGAATGTTGGCATGCAATAGGGCAACTTGTGATTGATTCTGAACTGCATTTGCTAATGAAAATGCATCTATCATCACTATAATGGTGTATGTTTACCTTTAATCCTGGAAAACCTGGAGATCCGTAGGAACCAGGGTCACCCTAATAGATGGATGAAAATGAACAAGCAGGGTTAAATCAAAATGCATATGTCCACTCAATGCATTATTATTTTTTTAACCTTAGATTGTTCTATGGATATTTAGTCTTCTTTGCAAAGGTAGGTGAATAAAAGGAAATAAATATAAAAAGGATTCCATTTCTTTATGACATCTGATACTTTAATTGATGTTTAGTGTTATTAAAAACAACTCATATGATGGCCAGTGTTTCAATTAAGAATGTGTTTCTATTGCTGTTGTTCTTCCAATTTTATTTAACTTAATGCTTGCACTGCACCAAAAATGTTTGAAATCACTGCAATATAATTTGTCTGAAAATTCATACTTGCTTTATTCAACATCACCAATAAAAATGGCCATGGAAGCCAATATTGAAACAGTCAGTACCAAATCTAGGTCAAATAAGCTCAGTGCCCGCACCATCTGGGAACTGGCCTCCACAGTGGAGCATCCCACTAGTGACATGTATGATCCTGGCCTCCAGATTCACCAGAGTTAATGATGAACGATCCTTACCCGAGGTCCTGGGAATCCAGGAATACCCTTCTCTCCTTTTTCACCAATACCAGGCTCTCCCTTTAAAAGATGACAATGTTTAGAAAGGTTCAAGCAACAATCTTTCATCAACATGGAAAGAAAGAACAAAATGAGAAACAGAAAAACAAATACTGTCCGACAGCTTACAGAAAACTACTTTAGAATAGAGGCCCCCTAGGATTATAGCAAGGTGAAAAGTTCTAGTAAGATATGTTAGCATCTAAAGCAATGCCAAGGACCGTGTAAAATAAAATTTGGAATTAAGATATCATCTCATACAAATGAAAATTAAAAGGCCCTTAAATAAACTACCTTATGTCCTGGTGGTCCCGGCAATCCAGTCATCCCATGAATTCCTTTTATACCCTAAAAAATCCCAATGGAAATAATCTGACTTATTATTTAGCATACTGAATTCTATCTCTTCCAGAAATCACCTCTTTTGACGACCTGTTTCACTAGTTTACTATAATGAGGAATTGTCCATCACCTGTCACAGTCTGCAGCTGAGATGTAAACACTACAACTCTGACCCTGTTCAGACCACAGGAGAAGTATAGAAGCATGGGGGTGGACTACCTTGGAACTGGGATACAAACAGGGAATTCTGCAAGTTGGAGATGCAGCCGTGGAAAGAAGTGGCCCATTTCGAGTCGGGCGGGGAAATTTAACCAAAAATTGAGAACAACAGAGCCTAATGTAGACTTGGTAATATCCATGCTGGAGGCTGACAGAGGAATTCCTACTTGCAGAGTGTCTATTATGTGTCTACCTCTGTGAATTTGTTACCTTTTCAATCATCAAAACATTAAATCCATCTACAACATCTGAAGGACAACTGGGACCTGAGTGGCCTTTTCTGTCCACATATCAAAACAACATTCAGGAGGCCCTACAAGTTTTGGAGGACTGGGCACAGCTTAGCAGCCCAGCTAGGTCTGCCACTCAGCAGCTGGGTAGCTTTGAGAACAGGGGTTGCAGGGATGCACATGAGGAGCTCAGCACTCTGGGGCCATAGGTACATGTTCAGAGAATACTTTCTATTACAACTTCACCAAAGTGACTTATGGACGGGGTGTTACCTTCTCTCCTTTGTAGAGACTAGAATCAGGGGGCTCTATCAATAAGGTGGGTCCAGGAAAACCTTGCTGGCCAACCTCACCCTTTAAAAATATCAAGAGAATAGAAATTTCATATTAATTCACATTTTTAAACAAAGAAAACTTTCACCCATGCATGATGGTATAATGCTTCTAATCCTGCATGTCATGAATTTAAAATACCAATCATGGCAAATGCATCATATAATTTAAAATATTTTTAGCAAAATGTAATAAATGGTTATGGTTAAAAATAAATTTAAAAAATCAAAATGATCCATAATCTTACCATCTAGATATGATCTCCATTAGAGGTTGGTATAGTTTTTTAGTGGTGTTAAGTATCTCCACATATATGTGTGCATATATAATATGTATTGACATATGTGTACATACATATATGTGAATAAGTGGTTTGTTAAGTGCAATTTAACATGTACTATTATGAGGATAATCTATATAATTACTTAAGCATAATTTAAAATATAAAATATAATTGTTATTTTATTAAATTCTTAAGTAATTTTATATTTTATGACAATATTTTGTGATAATTTTCCTATCATACTAAAATTTCAGAATCAAGATTTTTAATGTCTACAAAATAATCCATCTTAAGAATATACTATAATATATAAGCCATTCCACTCTGGTTAGAGTTAGTCTTTTTATAGTTTATATTCAAAAAAATTTAGGTTGTTTCATATTTATTTTAAATAATATTTTCAATTCTCTGTACAAAATAATTAGCCAAAAGTTTTTATTTGTGTCATTATAGATACTGTTCTCTTGAAGGAAAAAAAAGTCCCTTAAATTGATTTTGCCATTAATTCTCACCCTTAACTAGAAGGTAATTATTTTACACTTTTGTGAATATTACCTTTATTCTAAGCTTAGAATTATTCAATTTTTCTTGATGTATCCTGCTGCTTAACAGCATAACACAAGAATCAAAAATATACATGAAAACATCATGGAATGGAGGAAAAGCCCCTAATAAAAGTGGAGTAGAAAGTACAGGTCACAGATATATAAAATCAACTCTGTAAAGGCAAAAATACATTACAATACACACTTAGGGGACTCACAGCCTCAGCACTTCACATTTAGCATTACTAAGTGGCTATACATGTACAGCAATGTAACAACTGCTCTACATGGTGCATCTTACAGATCAATAACACTCAGGTAAATGAGCAGCATGTATGGGTGAGAACTTTCCTTTCTGAGATGACCCCAAATGAAACCCTGAGAGGCCAACAAACCTGATATGTCTTTAAAATATGGGCCACGATAATATTTTTTCATGCTATGAAAGTACCACATATTCAGTGTAGTCAAAAGTGCAAAGAAGGAAAATCCAAAGGCTGAACTATAAAAAGTCCATAATCAGATTGTCTGGAAATAATTAGTCACAACCATTTAGGTCTGTGTTTCTTAAAACAGGATGGGAAAACATATTCTTGAACACAGGAGATATCTGTACCCAAATTCCAAACGATGCTTTCATTCCCCAGCCAATCGAAAAGACTTACTATAAGCATTTTTTAGATCATTTGAGGGGCCAGCCCAGAGCCAAATGCCTCCATGTTATTCTATAGCCTGAGTCTGCAATTGCATTCAGCTGCCGTGGCACTGAATGGCCCTGGCTGGAATGCTTGCCTGGCCCTGTGACACCCTGTCTCAAATGGAAATGTGGGCTTTTGCAGCTTTGGCAAAGGTATTCTTGAGGGTCCCCAATTTCCCAAGTTCAAAAAAGATTGTTTCAGTGTATTTTTCATTCAGTCATAAGTCAGTGGTTCAATAATGGTTTTAATAATTATATATTTGGGAATTTGCTTTGTTCTTTTCTATGTATGATAGTAAACATTTAATGTGCATTATCTATTCAATAAAATAATACTTACAATTATGCAGTATATGACACCCATTTCACAGAGAAGAAAAATGAGGTTTAGAGGAATTTAAGAGAGGTTTGATGGTGGGTTGAATACCCTTTCCCCCGGGGACATTTGTAATGTACTGAGAGTTTTAGTTGTCAAAATGGGGGCTGGGCATGGAGGAGATGCTCCTGGAATCTTGTGGGCAGAGAGAGGTCCAGTATGCCACCAAAGATTCTGCAATACACATGACAGCTCCCACAATAGTGAGCTATCAGGAGTGCTGAGGTTGAGAAATCCCTCTCTAATGTATATTTTAATATCTTTTTGTTTTTGCTCTTTTTGCAATGTTAGGTTTCTACTTCTTTAACCTGAACTCTCTGATCAACAGTCTATCATAAATATTTCCCCACATCATGAAATCTTCCTATGAATTTTTTATTTTGACATGGGTTCTTGCTAAGTTTCTTAGTGCCTCACTAAGATGCTGAGACTGGCTTTGAACTTGCAATCCTCCTGCTTCAGCCCCCTTAGCTGCTGGGATTATAGGCATGGGCCACCACGCCTAGCTTCCTATGTATTTTTGACTATTGTGTAGTAAAATGACTATCTGTAAAATGACTATCTCAAACTTAAGCATATCAGAACCCCCTGTAAGCAGGAATAAGGTTTGTCCTACCAAGTCTCCACACTCAGTGTCAATCTTGGCCTTACACATAAGAGATTCTCAATATCTTCTTCCCCACAGTTGCTAAAAGAGCCACTCATCTAAGACGTTCAGATTCTTTCCAGATAGCTGCCATCTTAAATCACTCTTCTCAAGCTTATCTTTACTAAGTTTCATGCTTCAGCAGAAAGGACTGTGGGTGTAAGGGAGGCAGGAGAGGGGACCTTGAGGGGGTTGGGGGTGAAGGGGACATTGAGGAGAAGTGGAGGGAGGGTGAGCATGTTACTAAATGCGCTTGGATCCAGTTACTTATATTTATGTATGGAGTTTAGGGTTTTAATGAAATTAACTCAAACAAATTAGCAATTACACAAAACTGCCACTCTAGATATATTATTAAAAATGCTAAATCTCTTTTTGCTAGGGTGAAATGTGTCATATAAATTAACTTGAACATAGTGTTAAATTTGGTCAAAACTGCCATTTTATAGTCAGAGGTAATGGTGCCATAATAATTCATCAAAGAGAAATTCTCAGTCATAAAATCAGGCAGACACTAGACCTGAACCCAACGATCCAAGAGCCTCCACAACTAGACAGCATGCACATTTCAGCCCAGGATCCTCGTGGCAAAAGGGGGTCCTTACCGGGTCTCCCATCTGACCTTTCACTCCTACACCAGGATTGCCCTGAAAAAGAAAATAAATCTAATTGCTTTTGAATGTTAAAAAAGTAATTAAAATTAATTAAGACTACTTATTAACATTTAAGTAAATAAATTAGTTGAGGTTTAAATACTTTGATAGGTGGAAGAAGATAACTGACAGATACAGGTGACCAGTATTTCACTGAGCATGGGCTGTGTCTAGGTATCCTACTCATGACCACCTACCTTCAAACCTGGATTCCCAGGATGGCCCGGAAGTCCCTAAATCAATGACAAAAACCCACAAATCAATTATCAGTCCTAGACATCAGAATATATTTTTTATTGGTTGCCCTAAGTTTATTTGGGAAACAAACATTTGATTTTAAAATGTGCATGACATATTCTCACTCATATGTGGAAGCCCCCTACACACACACAAAAAAAGATCTTCTAGCAGTAGAGGGTAGGAGAGTCGTAGATACCAGAGGCTGGACAGGCTGGGAAGGGGAGGAGGGGGCAGGGAGAAGGGTTGTGTAATGGGCACAACAGTTAGGTACTTTTCTAAGAAGTTTAAGTTCTAGTGTTTTATAGCACAACAGGCCAACTATAGTTAAAAATAATTTACTGTATATTTCAAAATGGCTAGAAGAGGGGATTTTAAATATTTCAAAAACAAAGTTTGAAAAATATACAAAGTTATTATTAATAACAAAATTTGAAAAATAACAAGGTTTGATAAATGTTTGAAGTGATGGGTATGCTAATTACTCTGATTTATCATCATACATGTAAACATGTATCAAAATATCACACTGAACCCCATGAATGTACAGTTTTATGTGACAATTAAAAATAAAAAAACATAAAAGGCTGACTTTTTTTGTACTGGGGATTGAACCCAGGGCAGGGCGCTTTACCACTGAGCTATGTCCCCAGCCCTTTTTGATTTTTATTTTTTTGAGGCAGGGTCTCAATAAGTTACTTAGGGCTTTGCTAAGTTGCTGAGGCTGGTCTCAAACTTGCGCTTCTCCTGCCTCAGCCTCCAAAAGACTGACTTTTTATCGTGGATGGGCTACAGTTCGATATGAATATGAATACAGTGGCTTATCGCTGGGGTCCCTGTGTGTGAAGATGGATTCCAGAGAGTAATGATGCGATTTTGCTGAATGGACAGATTTTACGACCTCTCAAAGAGCCCACGTATGTCTGAACCAAGACTGAAACTTGACCTTTTTCATTTCTTCTTTTTCTTTTTACTGCATCTTAATGTCAACTCTGGGTTTGTAGAGGGATAGCATCAGCAGAGCTGTACCTACCACTAACCCTGGTGCTCCAGGATATCCCATGGGGCCGGCTGGTCCTCTTGTACCCCTAGGTCCCTATACAGGAGAAAAATCAGCACATTCATTTTGATAAATCATAATCACCCCTTACAGCAAGAGCCACATATAATCAGAATAGATAAAAACCATCAAATTAATCAATCCCCCCAACAGGTCCTCAGCTGGAGCAGTGTCCACAGAGCCGGAGGGGGCAGTCTCCAGGTGGTGGGACAAACCCTACAGTAGGGTCCTGTAAACACCCAGAAATCAATCTACTTTTTTACAAATAAACCTTGTATAAAAAAAGTTGAGAAGAAAACTTGCGGCTAGACTGATAAAATTTCTACATATTGTTATTTTGGTATATATCAGAATGCTTCAAAAACATTGATATTAGTTTATGTTAATTAATATTAAAATGTGCATGTATTTATAATCTTTATTGGTTCTTTTTAGCTATACATAACATTAAGACTTGTGCATAGCTTACACAATGATACGAGCATGGAACATAAATTTCCCTAAGTCAGTCCTTCCTTTTTCCCTCCCTTCTACCTGCCTCTGTTTCCTTCCCTCTATTCCACTGATTTCTGCTATTTACATGGAGATTGTTTTTTAATTAGTGTCTTTTGATATGCCTCATGGTGAGATCCACTGTGATGTGTTCATAGACATACATAGGACAGTCAGGTCACATTCAGCCACTGTTGCTCCCTTATCCTGTCTGTCCTACCATCTCCTCAATCCCTTTCCTCTATTTCACTGATATTTATTCTATTTTGATGGAATTCCCCCTACCCTTTTCTTTCTTTCTTTTTCTCCTTATTTGAGACTAGTTTCCATGTATCAGAGAAAACATTTGATCTTTGACTTTCTGGGTCTAGCTTATTTCACTTAGGATAGTCTCCAGTTCCATCTATTTACCAGCAAATGCCATAATTTCATTCTTCTTTATGGCTGAGTAATACTTTATTGTACATATACGTTTTCTTTATCCATTCATCTGTTGACGGGCACCTAGGTTGGTTATTACATTTTTCCTTTTTACTGTGGCATAACCGTGAACACTTTAGCAAGGAATGGTTACAGTTGGGTCACCCCGGAAGGGTGGAGAGAGGCCCTTTGCTCCACTGCTCCTGTCAAATGATTTGCAAGTGTGTAATGAAATCACTCTCATTAGGAGAATGAACAGGACAATTGCGATTTTAACAGTACCATCAAGGACATCTCACTTTCTACAAGACTAATGTCATCACTGAATCCGACATCTCAGGGAAGGGGATGTGGAGCAAAATATTAAATAGGATATGCAATTGCTGATTTGGCAGGCAAAAATGGCACCGAGAGACAGAGTAAAATAATTTCCACTTGGTATTTGCAGGAGGCCTATTATATATGGGGTTTTTAAGCAGACTTACCTTCCTAAATATTAAGTGTCTGCATAGACCTGATCAACCCAAATGATGGTTAAGAGAGAAGGGAAGATAAGGGGAGGCCTCATGAGACCAAGGCCTGCCCTGTGGGCCTCAACCTGTGTGCCTGTCACAGATGAACTTCATGCTCTGCTGTCTCCATCTGAAGTTCTTAACAATTGTTAAATAAGGGATCTACATTTTCTTTTGGAATCAGATGGGACCATCAAATTGTGAAGCTGGTCCTGCTGGGTTTAAAATTGAGTGCATGGTAGGCTGTTTGCAGAAGAAAGAGAAGCATGGGGCCTGCTTGGGAGACTTACTGGTAAGCCAGGTGGTCCTGGGTCCCCTCTGTCTCCCTGTAAAAATAGCAACATATGATTTTATAAGAGCCACACAATTTCCCTAAAACACACAGGATGTAAAAATGAGAACACACATAGGAATTATTTAGACTGGACTAAGGGTGGGGTTTGCTCAATTTTTTAGTGTTGGGAAGATCAACGCTGGGGAGGTGACTGTCCTTCTCCATTCCCAGGCCCTGAATTCTCCTCCTACTCAGTGGGGACTGTAAAGTCATGATGACATAGAATGAAGATGAAGACTGCCTTTCTGTTTAAATTTATCTAAGTTCTCACTGCACTGGCCCTTCTCCTTGCAGTTTGCCTGTCTCTGGTCTCATGGACACACCTGGCCTTGCTCCTTCGACCACCCTACAGGGGATGTAGAAGGGGCTCTGGGGAGTGTCTCTCAAACTTGCTTCTGTCCAGACGTAATGATCGACTCTGCACTGAGACTCAACCTGTTTTAGGTGTGTATTCACTTGGATATAGACTCTTAAAAAATATAAGTTATGCATAAGATATCTCAACCTCTTTGGGGCGTACAGTTATTTCTGTGGCACTCAGTGCATGCGCATTATTATTCAAGCATGACCATGGCCTACCTCCAGACTTTTTCATCTTCCCCAGAGAAAGCTCTGTACTCATTAGACACTAACTCCCCCAGGGGCCCCCGCAGCCCCTGGCAACTGCCACTCCACTTTACTTCTCTAGGAGTTTGACCACCGAGGGCCTTATGTAAATGGAATCAATATCTACCCCTTTCCAACTGGCTTATTCCGCTTAGCATTATGTGATCAAGGTTCATGCTTATTGTTGCATGTGTCAGAATTCCCTTCCTTTTAAAGGATGAAGAATACACGTTTGTAGGAATGCACCCACCCATACTCATTTGCCTATCCGTTCATCTGTTGATAGACACCTGGGCAACTTCCACTTTGGGGCAATTGTGAAGAATGCTGCTATGGATTCAAAAGTACCTGTTCCAGACTCTGCTTTCAGTCTTTTGGGTTATGTACCCCAGAAACGAAATTGCTGGGTCATATGGGAACCTGGGATTAATTTTTTGAGGAACTGCTCTATTGTTTTCCACAGCGGCTAAGCCATTTTACATTCCCGCCAGCAATGACCAAGGGGTCCAACTCTCTGGGTAGCTGCCAACACCAGTTAGTTTTGTCATTTTTTTATAATAGCCATCTGAATGGGTCAGAAGTGGATATGGACTTAAGAACATGGTTTCTCAAAGTTATTTGATCTACAGACTGTTTTTATTTAGTTTCTGCTTAAGACAAGGAATTCTCTATACCTCCTCTCTTTCCACGAGTATTCTATCATCACAGTTACAGAAAGATAATAATAATCCCCATAACTAATATAGGAAGTACGTTACAGTTTACAATATGCTGCAATTTGAATTGTTATAACAGGTCATCTTGATAATGCTGAGAGGAAAGCAGGGTAAATAGTATTTTAATTTTCTTTCATAAGGAAGGGAAATGAGTGTCAAGGGATGACTTGAGGTCACATGGTAACTAAGGGTCAGTTTGCTCATTCCAACACACCACATTGGCTCCTGGAATGACCCTGTTTTGCTATGAAGTTTATTATATTGTTTAAGCATTAAGAAAAATCATAGTTCTTGCTGTTCATGTATGAATGGGGGCAGAGACTACAAATAAATACTGTGAGCTCTCAAAAAGGATCAGCACTCTAGTGTGGCCACAGAACTTAGGGTCTAGTAGCAGTCTGGGATGAGTTTTAACTAATTGTGGTAGAATATTCTTCCTTTAGAGGGTATAACCATATGTCTTGAAAATGTACTATATTTTCTCTTGATCATCATTTTTTTCTGACCATCCTTTATTTATCCATGACGTCTTATATTACAGAGATGAGTTGGTCACTCAAGAGCTTATTTTGGAATGTTTGTACATCAGTGTGTCTGCTAAAAACACAGAAGCACTTAATTTATAAATGATAGTGCTAGAAGATTTCCATAATTCACAAGATCAATAGTGATGACTTATTATACATGAGGACAAGTATTACTATTAGAATATTTTAATTATGAATAAATAAGTGGTCCTCAACAAAGGCTGATTTTCCTTCAGGGGACACTTGGTCATATCCGGAGATGCTACGTACACCTAGTGGGTAGAGTCCAGAGGCCAGGCGAGCTGCTCAATATCCTACAGTGCTCAGAAAAGCCCCCACAGCAAGTGATTATCTGGCCCCAAATACCAACAATGACAAACTTGAAAAATCTTGAAATAAATGTATCCTTGCAACTCTGAGATGAGGAGACACTGGAATTATATAGCCATAGCGGCTAAGGCCATTGCCTTCACACAAGAAGCAAGGGGCCATCTAAGTATGTCAGGGCAATGATAAAAAATCAATGCATCCAGTGACACTCCTCAGGAAATCCCTGTCCAAGTGTTTCCCACACAGCTCACCTCCTTAGAAGAAGAAAAATTTCCACCCACAATGATCATAATACTTACCTGAATACCTTTAATGATACCTAAAATGAACACTGAATCTCCTTTTTCTCCATATTCTCCAGGAAGGCCCTGGAAATAAAATATTCACTTAAGAGGAAAAAGAATATTACTATTTCAATATTTTCTTTTTTGTATGAAATATTACTCACCAGTAAAATTGCCATTGGAGCAATTTCATTAGTGGAGATTTATCATCTTAATTATTATTATCATCCTAAAGTTTTCATATAGTTAAGGTCTGTTAAGGAATCTTCTAAGACAGAGTATTCACTAAAATATAGTTATTTACTCATTATTCAGCAAGAAGATTGCATCTTCCTCACCATATAAAGTATAGACATTATTCTTAAAAATATCCAATTCTGCAATTTTAATCTATGCACGAGAAAAAGTTAAAAAAATGAAAGTATTGTTTTTTAATCATTTCATTGTTTGTATTTAAAATAGAGCTTATATTCTACATAAGACTAAATTTTCAAAACTATAGCATGTTCTTTTGGGAAGATTTTTGTATGTAGCTGCTATTGGCTTAGGGTATTTTTTTTTTAAAGTGAATGAAAAGCCTCAATGTATTTCCTTCACAGGTTTTTCTATGTTATATCTTAATATCCTATTTAATATCTTAATATATTTTAAGTTGGTTGCCTTATAAAAATTTTGCCTTCTTCATTCAAACTATTATGAAAAAAACATACAAATTTCAAACTTGACCTGACTTACAAGAGCACCAGGTTTTCTTCCAATGGGAAATATTTGAGGGTTTTATGGTGACATCAAGAGTTTGAGGACTCACATGTGCCTATACAGAGCAATTGGCTTTATACAGGTCCAATCTGCATGAATTCAGTTCCATAGTTAACTAATACAAGTCCTCCGACAACAGGGTACAAACTTTAGTTCCCATCATAACTGAAATTAGTTGAGTAACTGCAGAAAGACCAAACTTCCCTGCTAGTTCTTCAGTGCACAGGTCACTACAGGAATAAGAGATGTCAGTCATGATCACTGAAAGACGATGTCATTCTTTCAAAGCCTGTCTGTGATTGTTTCCTGCACGTCTATCATTCAGAGCACACGCACAGACACACAGACAGCAAAACACAGAGATGTGCTGTCTCTTATCTCCCAGCCCAAATGACATGTTACAAAAATGGGTCCATGAAAGAGGGAATCAGCCAGCAAAGACCAAATGAATGAAAAAAATGTCCACATTGAAAGTGACATCCAAATGGAGCTGACCAGGAGAATGTGGACCCCACTGTTGTTCCAGGGACTTCACACACACAGCCTGAAGGCAGGGGGACAAACTCTGCAACATAAAGAGGAACGGGTTGTGATGGAAAGAATGAAGATATAACACAGGCAAAAGCTTCCCAGTAAAGGAACCCTGCGAGATGCCCCACCACAATGAAAACCAGTCCACACTTACAAAGGAGTATGACATTTTGCTAACGCATAGAAAACATATTCATTTGGTTTCATAAATCATGCAACAAGAATACAAGCACAGTTCCAACTACTCTTGATAAGTGTTTAACAAAGAAATGAAACACCCTTTGATTCTCAATGTTTTAAATTATAGTATACTAGGTAAATAGTAGTTTTAATTTTTTCATTCCTATTTTTATTAGTGACAGTAAGAGGATTTTTAACACTAACAAAACATATTATTAAATGTCACAGAACAATAGCAAATTATCTCATGGGTCAATAAGGATGCTCTCTGTGATGCTAGCTTGCATGGCCATTGTCACATTACCATGCAAAGCAAGGACTGACTGCCTCCAGAACAAGGGAGGGAAGGAAAGGAAGTTGATTTGCAAAGAGACCACAGTGCCACACTTCAGCACTACTGTCAGCGCTACATGCTGTGTCAAAACTACAGCTTGGAACCCCTGCTGTCTTGGATGTGCGTGGCTCAGTGGAATAAGGTTTGGTCCAATTTGAAGAGCTTAAGAAATGTACATCCAACAGCCTGTGCTCGAATCTCCAAATGGCTGAGTGTGACAGCAAAGGGCGGCAGAGACTCTTCACAGTGAAAGATGGCTATGGTACCTACGTGCCACCACAAGAAAAATGCGAGCTCGGAATTTCCTTGGATTCTGTATTCAGATTAGTTCCACTGGGATGCGGAGCAAAAGAAAGATGCATGAAGAAAAAGTAGAAGACTCTGGTGGTGATCATATGAAAATCTTTTAGAAGAGATTTGGGAAATAATGTTTAATTAGGGAAGAGGAAAGGCTGCAAAATAGTCACAGAAAATAAATTTTGAAAGGTCAAATTATCTTGAATCTTTATTTAAGTGTGTGTGAGAGAGAGGGGGGAAAATAAATATAAAGAATAGAGGACAAATAACAGGCAGAGAGAAAGGGAATATGAAAGAATATCCTTGACTGAAGCTGTGTTTAAATAGAAGTCCACATTTTTAAAGAAAACTAAAGTCAAGAGCACCATAGTTGTCCTCGAGAGCTGACTATTGTCCAGTTTCTGGACATCCATTCCCATCCCTTTCAAATTTATCTTCTTGCCTTACACAAGCTATAGAGAGAAAAGGTATATTTCCCAGACTCCTTTGCAGCTGGATGTGAATTAAGTTCCACTCAGGAGATGTGGAAAGCAGGAGTGAGGGAGAGATCCTTGTCTTGGTCAGCTGCTGTTGCCAAACAGAAAAGTAGAAACCTGTTTGCTGGTATCTGGACATAACAGTGAGAGACAGTGGATAGTGGACAAGCAGATTCCTGACTCTGGATCTCAGCTAAGTGTGAGCCCTGGAATCAGGAGCCTGTGTTGGACTGAGTCCCACACCTCTAACTATGATGATAAGTGCAAACTCCCTGTATTAAATCCTTTCTATTTGACATACCTAGACGGAAGTAAACCCCGAATGAAAAGCAATATAAATCTCGCTGATTGGCCTCTCTACTCCATTTTCCTTACTATCCAGCACCCAAAGACATCTTAATGAATCATCAATCAAATAAATTTGCTTCTTTCCTTAAAACTATTCAGTGTCTCCTCATGGAAAAGAAAATCTGGTTCCATCCACAGTCTATCATCAGTCCCTACTCATTCCAGTCCTGTCCACCTCTCTACCCCCACTCTGAGTTACACCTATTTGTTCACCGTGCTCCAGGCACACTTGCCAGAACGCTGTTTCCTGAACATACCAAACCTACTCCTACCATGGGGTCTTTTCAGTTAAGTTTCCTATGAGGGTGAGCCATGGGAGTCTTACTGGGGGGCCTCCCGAGCCAGGAGCTCCTCTGTGTCCTGGAAACCCTGGATCACCTCTTGAGCCATTGTAGCCGTTCAAGCCAGGTTTGCCTCTGGATCCAGGAGGCCCTGGGTGACCCTACAAAACAAAATCATAAGTGAAGGATTTTTGCAAGAATACCATAACACAAAGTTTTATGCAATGTGGATCTCAAATTATGGCAGTTGTGACTCTTGTTTTTATTTGTTTAATTTTGTGAAACTTCCTTTCCCACCTGAAAGCGCTGTGTGGCAGAGTGAAACTAAAAATAAAAAGTGTGGGCCGAATGTGGTGGTGCATGCCTGTGATCCTAGCAGCTTGGTGGGAGGCCGAGGTAGAAAGATTCCAAGTTCAAAGCCAGTCTCGGCAATTTAGAGAGGCACTAAGCAACTCAGTGAGACCCTATCTCTAAATAAAATACAAAATAGGGCTGGGGATGTGGCTCAGTGGTGGAGTGCCCCTGAGTTCAATCCCTGATACCCTCCCCCCCAAAAAAATACAGTAAATAAAATAAAAAATGTGTAATATGTCAAACTTAAATTAATTTAGTTTGGCGTGTTCTGGAAGATTTTTGGAGGAAACTTTGCTTGGAATTCTTAGAATCTAATGAATGAATTGCAAAGGCCCCCAAATACCTCTTCATTCTTCCATCTGATTTTCATGTTAGAAATGAGAGTCTTAAGCCCATTTTCAATCTTAAGACTCAACAGAAAATAAAACATCTATTATGAACAATACGTTTATTTCAGAACACTGCACTTGATACTGCAAGTGCATCTAGTTCCCATCTTGAATGGTTTTCCCTTATCTGTTTGAAAAGTTTTCCCTCCACAGAAAACATTTTGGTTTTAGAATTATTGCATAAAATTAAAATGTAAGCACCCTTCCCTGCACCAAGATGACAAAATAAAAGCCAATTTGCCCAATATATATGCTTTTTGAACATGTGATCTCAAAGGTTCTAATTAATGTTTCTTCCTTCTTTGAAAAAAATGGAGAAAATTTAGTGATACTTACAGGTACACCATCCAAACCTGGAAATCCAGGAACACCAGTTGGACCCTAAAAATCCCAGAAAACAAAACAGATTTTAAAATTACTAAATTCTTAGATTAACAATTTGATTTACAACAATTTGAATAACTGATGATGCATTAAAAAACACTTAGTGGTCATTGCTTTTATATTGATGAGTTTAATCTTTGGGGAAGGGGGAGGTGAGGATGAGCTGGGTATTGAACTCAGGGTCTCATGTGCAGTGGGCAAGTGTTCTACCACTGAGCCACATCCCTAGTCCTAGGCTCATGAGTTTAAGCACCAATGATTAAGAGTGTTTTGGTGAATACTTAGGAGGGCATTTTGCAGTGCCAATTCAAATATAGTACTCAACATGCTAAATCAGAAATTTAACTTCTCACAATCTATCCTGGAGTAACAAACTCTTCAATGTGAACAGCAATATATGGGGTTACTTTTGCACACTGGGACTAAACAAAGCTGGGGGAGAAATTCAGATTCTCTTTAGCAGGAAATAAAATACAGTCTTATTCACACTATGGTGTATGATACCATATTATTAAAGGAATACATTCAATTTGTATCAATTAATATAGAAAAATCTTTAAGACATATTGTTGAGTGGAAAAGGAAGAGTTTAGCATGATACACAACATTATGTTATTTAGGTTTTTGCCAACCCCCTAAACAATTTAAACCCCACTTAGGGGGTTTAAATGCATAGAGAAAGGTCTAGCTGGGCCTGCTCCTCTGGAGTGGGGAGTTGGGATGAGGATTGGTTGTGGCAGAGGAATTCAGACTTAATTTATCACAAGATGTGAGTATGTACTGCTGGTGATCATAAAAACCTAGCAGAGCAGTACTGGTGAGAGGGAAATGTGAGTCTTACCCTGAAGAAGCAGCTTACCTTATCTCCTTTCTCCCCTGCTGCTCCTGGAAGGCCAATGTCACCTCTCAGTCCTTTCTCTCCTGGAATCCCAATGGGCCCAGGGGGCCCCAAGGGCCCTATTGGACCCTGTGGCCCTAGTGGTCCTGGTTGACCCTGAGAAGGAAGGAGGCATGACGTGATTTTTATGTAGTGTCTTCTAACACAAATATATAGTCACTCAGGTCCATGGAAGGCTAGAAAGTTCAGAGTTTGAGCAAGTTCTGATAACAGAAACCCAAGTGTTTAATCGAACCCTAAGAAACCCAGCCGTTGCCTTTCTCAATCTGAACTCAAGCTGAATGATACTTTTGCAATATTGCCTGTGTGTGTGTGTGTGTGTGCAAGCATGTGTGTGTCAACATACGTAGGCTGATGGTGGTTCTTATACTATTTTAATTCCTTCGATTGCATTTATAGATCCCCAGCTGTTAATGAAACATAGAAATAAAATTACCAGTCTTATCACCACTGTGTGAGTGACATGCAGGTGGGAGGAGAACCACCACATCTTTTACTTACTTCAGATGTACTTCTGATGATTTGAGGTCTCAGGACTATTATCTGATGTGAGATGAAGGGATGCTTCATCATGAGCCATCACAACACGGGTCACCCACACGTGAAGACCTGGCTATGTGACCCCAGGCATGGTGGTCTCCAGTGAGTCCCCTGGATGGCAGTTTCGAAGCACACAAGTTGTACCTCCAGAGTTTGAGTGCACTCTTAGTGTTCATTTGAAGTCAGGCTGTGATTTTTTTTGTGCTTCTTAAAAAGTTTTCCAAAGATTTTCAAGAAAAATCATTTTATATGCCCATGTCCCCAAACTCAACCTGGGTAAATAGTCAACCAGTAAGTCTGAATTGATTTGTAGACAGAAAAGTTTGAGGGATTTCAGGAGATATCTGTTCATATCAGCTCTCTAAAACTTCTAGGGCAAATACAGGGCTGCCTGTAGGTGTGTGGGGCCCTGAACAACATGTTTCCTGAAGAGTCTCATCTTCATGAACTGTGAGTCACCCATAATTAGTGTACCAGCCCCATCCATCTGGCTACCAACCTCACGTGATTCCATGAAAGAAATAACACATGCTGGTAATTGGGAGTGTCCTGATAACCATCCTCTCTCCTGAACCAGGGAGCCCCAGACAGTCCGTAAGTATGAATGCTGGGCACTTCATGGTCAGCCCCACACTGGAGAGCACCCTCATGGAAATCAATGGTAACAGACCCGCTGGGGCTTGGCCCACACTGCTGCTGGCCTTGGCAGAGTGTGTGTGTGAGAGGGGGGTGGGTGCTGAGGCATGGGGCAGGAGTCCTGTAACAATAACAAAGGAATATTCACCACAAAATTATTTGTAAAGTCAGGAAAAATGTGAAATCCACCCACTGGATACTGAATGAGTAAATTACAGTACTTTCATAGAGTAGGTCGCCACAGCCTTCCCACAGCTCCATGCAGCGTGGAACACACATTTCAGTTACCCTGACAGGGTTAGGGAGCTGGGGGTTGACCTGGGGATCACTGGTGGTGGGTAGGAGTGCCTGTGGGCTTTTGGGACTTTGAAAAAAGAGCTCCCAGACAGAAAGATGCAGGGTGGGTGCTAAAGTCTGCCAGAGCAGGAGCACTGAAGCTGTGGTCTAAGAAGAGTGTCTAGGGCGCTGATGGCATTTGTAGGCAGCCATTAAAGAAAGCAAAGAGATCTGTCTGGGCTGACATAGAGCACCCTCATGATGCTCAAGAAGAGGAAACAGAGTGATTGTGGGTCCGGGCTCTGCAGTCAGCCCCTGTGCACTTACTAGTTGTGTGATCTTAAGTACATTTCTTAGCCTCTCTGATCCTCAGCATCTTCATCTGTTGATGGCTTATGTCATAAGAAGAATAAAGCCTGCAACGTTGCTTAACGTAGCACCTATCATAATCGATGCTGTTATCATCAGGGATTATTATTATAAATGGTTCATTGTTAAATGAGAAAACACACCATAGAATCCCATGTCATATGACCCCAACTGGAGAGAAACAAAACAAAAGGAGAGATGTTCTCCCTAAATACGCGTTTATAAATGAAGGTTTCCAGAGGCATTTTCAAAAAAATGGCATGAGAGAGAAATGGAAGCCAGGGCAGCAGCTTCACAATCCATGGTCAGTAAGTGTGACCTTTACAATAAAGACCTTTTACCATTTCCCTATTGCCATCAAGTCACGGACCCAACAAACATTATCGATATTCTTTAACTCCCGCCTCAGCTTCACAAGGCAAAACTGGACTTCATGTGCTTTCCCTTTTCTTGATGGTTTCTCGCCCTCATCACAATGGCTACTATTTATTATTTACAAAAATTCTAAAAGCCTAGAATTTTATTTTATTCATTTTTATTTGTGTGTGTGTGTGTGTGTGTCAGGGCTCATGTTGCCCAGGCTGGTGTCAAACTTCTGGACCTGAGTGATCCTCCAGCCTCAGCCTGCCGAGTAACTACAGGCACACACCATGGCACCCAGCTTAAAGTTCAGAATTTTAAGAGAAGCTGAAATATATATAAATACATGTTACAAAAAAGACACCAATAAAATATGAACTATAATTATATGGGCACAAACCATTTGGGGGCATGGTGAGGGCAGATTAATTTAAATGGGTATCACATAAATTCTAAATTACAATCTGAAAGTAAGAATTACGGTGACTTCATATGACCTTTTCAATGCATGTGAACTAATTTTACTTCTAAGATTAATCTCACTTCTTAGTAAGATTAATTAACATATGTTGAAAAGCTCCCATTTTTTTTTAAGTATAAGGGTCAGGAAATAACTGCTTTTTCATTAAGTTTAAGAATTACCTTTTTATCTTGCATATAATTTATACATAAACTCCCCAATCATCTTCTGTGAATAAGGTATGTTACAATAATGTATTATTTAGATACATAATAAAGCACACACTTGAATACAACAGGGTAACTGAGAAAGAGACAACCGATTAACTGGCTATAAATCTCTTTAATGTGTTTCATTTTAGACTTGCAATTCTGAATCCAATGAGCTAATGGAAACTTGCAGAGGAAAAAGAAAATGGGAAGTGTTTAACTTAGTGTTGAGAGTGACAAAACTCCACTTAATGTAGCATAGAAATGCATCCTGATTTCAGGAAAATAAAAACACTTTGAAAGAAAAGGAAACCAAGACAGGTTATCTGCATTACTGTGGACAACCATCCCTTCCTCTCTTCCCTATTTCTCCTTCCTCCCTTATCCCCACTTGCCACACAGACCTCCTGGCCATTTCTGAACTAGCTTTGTTGTTTCACAGTTTTTGTGCATGCTGTCCCATCCCAGGCTGCCCCCATCCCTAGCCCTGCTGTCTCTCAATGCTCTCCTGGAAAGATTTCTCTGATCTCTTGCCCCTTCCCTTGAGAAGTGGATGCCCCTAAGATGCTAAGTCTTAAGCCCTCTCACCAGCTCCTATGATCCTGTCTTGATCTGTGTGTCCCTCCCAACCCCATACTCCTGGACCATGAACTCCTACAGTACAGAGCCTAGGTGCCCAAGATCATGATGGTAAGGAAGGCAGAGAGATGTATTAGTAAGCTCTCTGTTAGTACAGGAACACCTGAGGCAGATTATTTATAAAGCAAAGAGGCTGGCTTTGGCTCATGGTTCTGGAAGTACTAAGTCCAAACAACATGGCACAGTCTCTGGTAAGGACCTCTTGGGCTATGTCACATCATGGTGAGAGTGTGTGATTCCTCTCTCCCTCTTTATTATTAACACCCTAGGATTCAATCATTGGGATTCCACCCTAATAACCTAATCTAACCTAATCACATCCCAGAGACCTCACCTTTAAACACCATGGTAGGTTTGAGTTTCCACTCTCTCAATGCAATTAACATCTGACTCTGGGGATTAAACTCTTGAATGAGTTTGGAGTTAGAAACCATCTTCAAACTGTAACAGCAGAGAATAATAAATGCTTAATAAAATATGAAGGTGAGCCCTGCCCTGACCCCAAGGAAAGAACTGTGTATATGCTTCCTTATGACTCGGAACTGGGTTGCCTAGAACATTGGCTTATGGTTGTTTTGCAAAACAGTGAGGATCCCATATCACCGTGCGCGGGGTACAACTGCACAGGTTGAGGAGCCGCTCTGAGCACAGTGGTGCTGGAGTCTATTGTTGAGGCATAACCTGGAAGCCACTGTGCCTCCACCACAACCACGTTCAACAGCACGTGCAGCCTCTGCTTGGCAAGTGGAAGAACTAACATAATACACCCAGCGCCTGCTTTCTGAAGCCTGGAAAGACTTTGTGATGTTGCGTTCAGGATTGTTTTTCATATTGTTAGGTATTTTGTTATATGATAAATTTTTTAAAGAAATGCATTAAGCCTTGGATAATAGTACTAAAACTGTCAGAAATCTGCTCAGGAATATTTCCCAAACACGAATCTTTGAGAGAGTAGTTTGTTGGTTCAGCCAATTGGAGTTAATAATTTATCAACAGCAATATAGAGAGTAATTCTATTTTTGTTACATTGTTTCATATAAAAAAGGGGCCATTTACTATGCTTACAAGTAAATATTTAGGATTACTTATTTATAAGGCTATATACTTATTTATAAGGTTATATTGGTGAATAGGCACCAATAACAGGTCCACAAGGACATTTTTATAACTGGAGAATCATTAATCACAGGAATTTTGCAACATTTAAAAAAATCTTTTTAAAAGAAATATTGCATCCACTTCTAACCCTTCCGCCTGAAAACAGCAACATGGCATGAAACTGTTGGTGTCCTCGCCTTAGTGTAGCAAGAAGCAAAGCTGCCCACAGAAGGACCGGCTTCCAGCATCCCATCCCTGATTTGTTTTGGGTTGTTGGTGGTTTTCCATTTTCTTTTCTTTCTTTTTTTTTTTTTTTTTGCTACTGTGTGCACAAATCGCCTCTGTGGTTTGTGACTTTCCATGTGACACAGCGAAGTCACTGAATTCAGAAACGACAATCGGCTTGACAGCTGAGAAATGTTGGCATGCTGTATGAAGCCACTAGGTCATCTCAAAGGTCAGGTGGACCCGTGTGGTCAGACCCCATATCTGTGCCTCGTACCATGGCA